GCGATTCAGGTCACAAGCAATTTAATGTCAATTTTGGTATTAAACGTGCTGGCTGCCAATTCACCTGCCGTTCTCTCCTCACCACCACCCCCTCCCCGCATGTCTTCCTTTCTGTCTGACTGTCATTCGCAAGCTGGACTTGGCCTGCTTTCACTGTTTGCAAAGGCTGCCACACGCACTCTGAGCTAAAATAACAATAGGTGGGCTTGCGACAACTGCGGGATACCCTGTACGCATTCATTTTATTTCAAAAAACTAGTGCTTCATAAAAAAAAAGTTAAAGTTTGTTGGAATATTGACTGAAAATAGCTAACGAATTTGGTAACAAAATTATAGTTTGCTGAAATGTTTTATAGAAAATAGTTTATTCATAAACACCCCAATCATATTCAGTAGGTATTACAACAATATTGGCCGAGGATCTGCTACGGAGGTCCTTCAATAACTTAGCTAAACGAATGTTGACAGACCACTGGCATTCGATTAAATCTAATTAATTTCAGAACGCAACGCCACGATTTGCGAATTGTTTTGCCATCTATTTGCCTGAGCTCTCTAATAGTTTTTAGATCTGTTTGCTTGCCATTAATTGGTTGACCAGCACAAAAATATTTGACATTATTTGCCAAAAGCGATGGACAGTAACATCCATTATAGCACGTAATTAAATTATAATTTGCTCGATGAGATTTTTTCTATATTTAAATCTTTATTTGATTACAGTTTTCAAATACGAATTGTAAGTTTAATGTACTTTGTAAATTATTGGATAGACAAATATGAAATGTATGCTGTCAGTTATAATAAACTGTATAATATTTTAAATGTATATATAAATAAAATTAGTTGATTAGAAAATAAATACATTCAGTTCATTTAATGCACATTTTGTGGACTTGGTCTGATTCCTATTTCTGTCAACGCCATTGCATATCGCGTCACGCACACTAGTTAGCATGTTAAGCAAATGGCGGCCACACTCGCTTACACACACACACACACACACACGCACACAAAGTGCAATCTGCTGCCAACCGCAATATGAACATTTCGCTTTCTCTTTGCCGTTCAAGTGATGGAAAAAAAACACCCAAAGAAATCCCGCACGTTGCGTTTGGAACTCGAACAGTCGACATCTGGCGATGGCGTTTCAAGTTGAAAATTTGCAAACAAGCCGTAAGTCGCCCAGAAATTATGCGAACCAGCTTGGAAATTAAGCTGGCGCCTCCATGAACCTTTTTCATAAAATAATGATAATATAAATTAAGATAAAAATGTAGAGAACAGTAGACTGAATACTCTAAGTATTTATTTAGGTTGAAAGAAAAAATACTTACGTTTAAAACTATTTATGATTTTATAGCAAATCACTGGAAATCATAAATGAATCTATGTGGAACAGTAAAAGGTTGAAGTTGGCTCGTTTCCACACATCATCTCGTTTTTCCCATTATAACTTTTGCACATTGTGATGCAGCATTAATTTTCTTGTTCCCTGCAGTGAGCGGCAACCTTTGCGCGAAAGTAATTTTACCCGGGACAAGGTCAGGGAAGAAAATCGCACAACTTTTCCAGCGCGGCGCATAAAAAAGTGAAATTTAAGCCACACACGCAGAGCAGAAGACAGACGACAGTTTTGCGCCAAGGCCAAAGGACTCGGGATTCGAGTGGGTGTGTGTGTGTGCCACATGCACTCACACCCACGAACTTACTATGTTAAGTCAGCTGCCGCCATTTTGTAGCCATTTTATCATGGCAAACAAAAGCGGCTTACAGCCTCCAGTTGTCTGATGTCTCCAGTTCCCCTTTTTTTTTTGGCTTATTTCTACTTGAAGTTGATGAATTTTACTCACGCTCAACGACCGTCTGTAAAGTTATTTTAGCCCGTAATTTTCATGGGTTTGGGGAGACTCGAGACTCGAGAGCCCGGGAATCCGTCATTTGATTAGCCGCACACGGCAATTAGGCAAATTGCCGGGCTGCATTTTAAACTCCCACATGCTTATCGACTCTGCCTTTGATTAGCCCCCCGAAAAGGTGGAAACAGAGGGATCTCAGGCGTAATTACATTAACAATTCCAAAAACATGCCCCCGAAAAAGCCCGGGCATTCCGAGTCGTCCAATGTCACTCACTGCTGGGCATTCAATGTGGCACGAAACGTATCCATTATTCAGGACGTGGTGCAAACAACTCGACCGACAAGCCGACATCGTCCTCCTGCGTGTAAGACGCAGTGGCTACAGTGGCTCCTCCTCCTGGAGGTCCGCCCTAAGCCACCCAGTGCACCACTAACTGCACCACCCAATTCGCAGCACCCTCATTCCATGGCATACGCACAGCATATTTGGCTTGTGAACTTGCCTACTAACCTTGTGTGCATGTGCCATGCAATTGGCCCCAGGATAAACCAGCAGTAATAACAACAACGACAACGTCGTCAACAAAACAACAACAACTGCAAGGATGTGCAAACATGGCGAGGTCCTTTCGTATGGAATGCAATCGTTGGGGTGGCCAGTGGAGTTGGCTCGTAATTAAAGTTCCCCCAGTTGCCGTTCTCGATAGCCCAATGGCGACAGGTACAGTCCCTGCAAAACACAGTGGCTGAGCTCATTAGTTGTCGGTCCTTGAATTCCGAAACTAGGTGGTAAATTGTTTAAAAATTTAATTGTTTTAAGTAGGTTACATAAACATTGAAACCATGATGTTAAACTTCATAACAACGTGGCTAAATAACAAGATCAAATAACAAATTTTGAAGCTTAAGGTTCGTTTAAAGGCTTAGTTACCATCCCCAAAAGAACTTGCCAACTTGCTTTATACAATAGAGAACGTTTTTGACGTCAATTTCACATCTCATCCGAACGTGAAATGCAATTGCGTTTTCGGCTCCCTTTGACAAAAGGCACAAGCCCAAGAGGCAGGCAAAAAGCCGAGAGCTAAAGATATTGTTCACCAAAGTTATCGTTGGCTGCGCATCGGTAACAAAGTACAGTGGTGGCGGCGTGACCAATGACAGCCATGTTTCCTGCATCAGAAGTTGCACAAAGTTGTCGCTCAGTTGCATTCCACCCCCTTTCCCCCTCTCCCCTTTTTGCCTTACCCTTTCCCAATCCCTTCGAGCCACAAAAAATGCTGGCCACGTTTCCTCGTTCTATTTCTTTTGCCCAACTGCTGAGTCTCATTGGCTTTTCGCTAGCACACGGAAACAGTGTTTTGAAAATTAAAGTCCAACAAATAAATGTGTGCTCCTTTAGGATAAATTTTTAAATAATACTGTGAATAGAACAGAAAAAACTCTCGAATTAGAAAGCTTAAAACCATTTTTTTTAACTTGTTAGACCTGTTACATTTTTTTAAACCAAAATATATAAATAATTATCTACAAAAACTTGGGTGTGCACAGTTTTTTTCTGTGTACGACTTTGTGTGAGGGGGTTTTTGTTTGGTGGCCGCCTGCGGCTGGCAAAACGACAAAATGTGTGCTATGTTCCGGCTGAATTGCAGATTTCCATCCTACGGCACCCCATCCTCACGCACACACATACACACACACACACGGCGAGTCTCTTATTCCCTGCGCCTTTATGTGCAAAAAGGGGGAATCCCCCTTCTCGTAGATTTCACTTTGCTGGGGTGAAGGGAACTGCGAGGCGCCGTGGAACAGTGTTTTGCCATTTGGTCGCATATTGCTAATGGAAAGGAGCGCCCACATCCGCTCTAAACACCTGGCATTGGCTGGGGGATTATCCGAGCAGCCTCTCCGACATACTTTCGGGATCATATCTAAATTGAAAAAGTTATCGTTGCCGTGTGTCAAATGTGTCGCCGTCGCCTTTTATTTACATTTTATTTTCATGGCAAACGTGAGTCGTGCCGGATAATCGATTCAAATCGATGCGGAAGCTGAAATTCGCTCGCAATGCGACCGACATTTCGCTGACAGCCGGCTGTCCGCCAGGCAATAAACAAAAATAATGCGGCCAGCTTCCAGGCGCGCAACATAAATTATAACATTAAAGACACCCCGAGAGGCATAAAAATCTTATTTACCATAAATTAGCCAAACAAAAGTCGGGGGCTCGATAAGCGTTTTGGGACGAAATTAAAACCTGTCGATGCTTATCCAGTTGAGAAATCCCCCCGATGACTGTTCAATCTGTTCACTAGGTGCCCTCAAACTTCTACTTTGAATGGCCTCCGGACGGAGCTCATTACGTATTGATGCCCCCTCATGTGAGATAATTGCCGAAGTTGTCTATTAGCATTTAATAATTCATGGCTGCGTGTCCATCTTCGTGTAGTTGTTTGTTTGCGGGCCAACAAAAGTCAAAACTGTGTTGGCTTGAGGCTATTAAGTTCAGGCATTAGGGCGAAATGTGTAAGGCCGAATGGCCTCAAGACTTTGGGCTTCATGTCGGATCAAAAATGTCTTGTGTGCGATGCGATTATCATGGCAATGATAGTTCAGACGAACTAATCGCATGCAGTTGATTGATAATCGTAACCAGTTGATTTGTAATCTTCTGAGCACAATGCAGGTCCATAAATTGGTTTTCTTGCTGACTTACTCACATTTCATTGTGTCAAAATATCTATCCTTTTACAAAAGCTACATGGGATTATCATAGTATCAAGCAACCCAAAGAACATAAAAGGCAAAACTCGTTTATAGACCTTTTTTCTTCTTTTAAAATTCCATTTTATTTCTTTGAATGAACTTTAATTTACAATATTCTTTATTAATTTGTTTTGTTACTATCATAAATTTGTTTATTCAACTTTTCACACATACCAGTTACAGTTATCTATATTTTGTTTTCAAAAAAGCATCAAAGCGAATACTTTTCATGCGTAAAGTAACATACATTTTACAGGAACCAAAAATTGCCAATACACATAAAACGGTTTGTTGTTGTCGTTGTGTAAAACTTGTAAATAAATTAAAATATGTGGAAACTTGTTTATACACTAAATAAATGAGAAGAATATTACACGTACTACAAAGTAGATGATTTAATGTAGGATAATGCTTTTAAAATGATCACAGCAAATTGTTTTGAATACCCAAGAACGAAAAGCGGAGCAAAGTAAGTGTGCAATTAAATTTCAATCTCTAAAAATTTTTTGTTTTTGTCTTGTAAATTTGATCTAAACATTTTTTATAAGTTTTGTTGTATTTTCTATGTATTTACAGAGCTGGTTCGTTCAAATATTTTGCTAAAAAGTAATCCAACTTGGTGCTACAAACTTTACCTTCAAGTTAATAACTGATTTTAATATTTTATCGATAACAAAAAATATATATTATAGCTAGTCACAATAATTGTTAGGTCTATAAACAGTTTAGTTTAGCCATTATCGGTTTTTTAATTCACAAAATGTTTCTTTCGGTACCCAAACTTTAACGAAATGTCTTAACTTTTTACAATTGATTTCATGGACGTGAAAGGAAAGTTCGACTTCTGGCTCTAAATCCCGGCTCGTTCCTTCTCTGAGTTCTTCTGGGCTTGTGTGTGTGCGCTTATATGTGACTGTGTGTGTGGATGGGTGGGAGGTGTGTGTGTGAGTCTGTGGTGCGACGTTAGTTGATGTCAAAACATTGCGCCTAGAAAAGTTTGCGTTGTTATTAGTTTATGGACGTGTGGGTGTAAGTATAATGTGTGTCTGTGTGTATATATGTGTATGTGTATGTGTATGTTTAGTGTTGTTACATTTAAATTAAATTTTAAACTAGGCAACAAATTGAATTTGTTGAGTATTTTCATTTCCCCCAATGCTGATGTTGCTCTTGTCTTTTCTTTTTCTTTTTGGCATTCTTCTTTTCTTACTGCTAAGTGAAAGTTCATTCTCTCAGCATTTCTTTCATTTAACTTTTACTTTTTAAAGATGAGTTTTTGGGGCTTGGTCCAAAAGGGAATTACTAGTAGGAGATGCTTAGCGGGTGTTCAGTGCCCACCGGCCAGTATTTGCTGGATATGCATTTAGTGGTTCTTTGGCGGTGCCTTAGACACATTCGGTGCCCGGTTCGAACAGAGGATGGGCGGTCTAAATAGGGTTTAAAGAAAGTTTTTGGTTAGTACAAAAGTTGGGAATTAGAGGAAATACAAATAAATAAAATACCGATTGAGCCTAAGCAAAATCAGTCATAAATAGTAACACAAATATAAAAAAAGGGCTAGTTAACTTCGTAAACTTATTTATAATTAAAATAAAATAATCTGAATTTTTGTTTTGAATAAAAAATAATATATAAATGCGGCTTTAAGCACAATTGCGGTTTTTTTAGAGAAACTAACTCTTTAGTTAGCGGAATTTCAACACCAAATCATAACCACCGCTAATTACCAATAAAAAAGAGATTTTCAAACGCGCGTATTCAATTTTAAACCTTGGTGAAAACGGGCAACCGCTAAGCTTGTGGCCTTAATTTGCACTGAACGAAACCGCCTGGTTAAATGAAAATTATAAAGTTATTTGTTGGTGGCCGTGGCGACCAACAGTAAATCTCTTCTAATTCCAATTTGTTTAATTTTGTGTTATTATTGTTATACATTGTTTTCGGCTTCCGCTCGGATTTGTCTTATTTTTTGTGTATTAATTAAACGCTTTAATTAAATTTGGCAGCGAAGCAGCTGTGAAATGTGTAACGGCACAAAAAGGCTAATTTAATTGAGATATTTCACTAAAATGTCCTGACAAAGTGTTTTAGTTGCACAGCTGTCGGGTTACGGAACGTTTTGACGCTCCACTGACGCCATTTAATTGGCCTTTTAGTTAATTGGCCAATTGATATGCACATTTTGATTGCATTTGCAGCTCTGCAATTAGCGAGACCCACGGGTTGCGATTCAAAGAGCACGCATTTCAAAGGGGGCACAATGCTCAAATCGACGGTAAATTAAATTAAATTAAAAAGCAATAGAATTATAATTAAATTGTACACACGAGACAATAATTATGTTATATAATATGCCAATAAAGTCCTAATATGGATTGTGTAACCACAACTTACCGCTTTTAATGTCTAAATTGGCACCGTGGTTTCGAGTGGCTCGCGGCATTCAAAACGAATTAGTTGGAGAAACGGATTCGGTTAGGAAGGATTCAAAACATGAAATTCACTAAGTTCACAACAATTTCATTACTTACAGCTAGTCTTACTAGAATCAACTTACTTAGCCCTAGATACAACTATGATACGAGCACTTAGTTACCTATTTACAACACTAACTTAGCACCTAACACCCTAGAATCTGATGTAGCTAAAGTCGTTCGGATTCGTGGCCATCGGAGGGGCCGACCCGCTTACCTCCTCCTCCATTGCGGTGGCGTACATGTGAGGCGTCACGTTCTTCTCCAGACTGAAGTGATCCTCCGTGGTCTTGTGGTAGACGGGGTTCTCGAAGTTCATCGAGTTCACAGCTCGCGTGCAGCGTCGATATGCAACAAAGATCAGCTGTAACAGAAACATTAATGTTTACTTATTGTTTGTTAGTTTTCAATCTCTCGTTGAACTTACGCAGGCTGCTATTGCGACGCTCGATAAGCTGGCTATCACAATTAGGGCTATTTGGCCGTAATCCTTTTCTTCCTGTTTGCTAGAACCATCGGTCTTGTTTGATGTTTCTGTGCCATTGTTGCCGGTGGTTTCTTCAACTGTTCAAAAAGAGAAGAAACCAAAAATTAATAACAAATTTGGAAAACAAATTATTTTACCCAAACGTATTTAAATGAAAATAAATATAGCTACGTAGTTTATGATCAAATGAGGACATATACAATTTACTTTAAACAAAAACCACTTTTTGCAAATTCATGAAAACACACTTCCACCAACTATAAAATTAATAATAAAATTTCAAACATATATTAAGGTCAAAGATTGTGCGTTCCAATTTCAAAGGAATCTCCCACTCCCAAAATTAATAAAATATGCCTCCCCCAACTCTTCGGCTTTAGCCATAATTTCATAATTCCTATGGCCAAATATAATTAAAATGTTGTCTTTCTGCGAGCTTGGGAGCAATGGGATAAAAAAGAGCAGTCGCCGACGACGATGACTACATCCCGTGGCGAATATTTCCGCTTTTGGGGCTTCCCTGGTTTTTCTGTCAGCCTCTGTGCGCTTTTATTCGGCGCCTTTCGCTGTTGTCGTGGCAGGAAGTTGTAGGATTTTTCCGCTGTCATCATAATTCGTTTTCGTATTTTTCCGTTTAGAATTTGTTCAACAGCAGAAAAAAGCGCACAAAGTTAAGCGCAGGAGGCGCGCGTTCGTCTGGCAAAGGATATCCCGCGCTTTCGTCGTGTCCTTAAATTTCTTCAAATCCCATCCGCGATATAAGTCCCCGAGTCTCTCTAAATAAAAACGCTCCCACTTCTGTTGTTGTTATTAATTTCTACCCTACAAGTGTCTAAAAGGAGGTGTTCCGGATTGGGATGAGAACACGTGGCAGGGAATTATCATTAAAAGTTTATAGCGGCAACAGCTGTGCGGCATCGATTCCGGCAAAATTCGGCGTAGGCGTGTTAAGATGCTGCGAATTTATTTTGGTGGCATTAACAGACAGTCAAGTGGCAGAGAAAACATCCGAAAAGTTGCACGTTGCCCTGGCCTCTTAATTCCGCAACATTTTTATTGGTAAGTATGTCCTTGTTTATCTTTACTGAGGCAAAAGGCGCCAGGAAATTGACTGCAGCTGTCGCTTATAAATTTTTTTACTGCCAAAAAAAGGCACACGAAACTCGAAGCACACACACCAATTTGAAAAGATTAATTTATTTCTCTAAAAATGTGCTTCGCAGAATTTGCATTTGCCGTCCTGCCGTCGGATTTATGCTCGCCTATAAATGTCATATATTATTGCGCACTTCTAATCTATACAAAATGCAATTTCCGTGCTTTACACACACAAACACACACATACACACACATGTAAACATTGAGAGTTATGCCTCATCGCATCGCCCATTTGTATAATCCAGCACATGTGCTCTCGTATTTATTTCGAAACTCCAACTCAGGATAACGCATAGCAGGTGCTCGGAAAACCCCTCGCTTCCCGGCCAACGGAAGTGCCATAAAAAGTACGACAAAATGGCTGCCGTGCCACAAATTTCCTTTCCAAATGAAATAAAAACGCATAAAATATGTTCCGTCACCTGTTTTTGGGGTTCCCGAGAGGCGGGATGTGTAAACAGATTAGACAAGCCGAGAGAAAAGTTTCAAAGTTCTGCACGGAGAAAGTCAAAAATGGTGTGGCATGCAAATAAACAAAATGGCGGCTTCGCTGCCATTTTTCTTCCATTTTTGACCTCCATTGTTGTCTTCACTTCGGAGGCAATATGCAGTAAAGTTAGAGGCGGACAATAACAATTGCCGGACTGACCGAAGTGCAGGCAAATGAAAGTCATAAAATGCTGCAAGGAGCAGCAGCAGCTGTTCACCCTGTTTTTGCCCCGCCATTTTCCCCGGATTTTCCCCGCTTTTTCCTCACCCAACGCCCCCTTTTATGTGGTTGGCTATTAAAAACGCAGTCGTTACTTCGACGGCTCAAAGTTTATGGTTACTGGGGGCCTGTCCATCTGGATTTCGACCCGCCATTTCGCTGTGTGTCTCTGGGGTATTTGCGAAACTTTGCCTGCGCTTAATTAAGCAATTTGAAGTGGGCCAAGATGGCCATAGAAAAAGTGGCACAAACCGCTAATTGAAATTGCAGTTATGCTGGCCGACTGGGCGACGCAGTCATTGGCAGGCTGGCCGGGCCATCTTAATTGAAATGGTCCCTAACTAGTTTATAGTTATTTACTCGCCCGCCGTTCTGCCAACTTTTCCCTCTCCCTCGTTTTCCTTAAGCCCTCGTCGTTGTCGTCGCTCCGCTGCCACAAATGTGTTGCAGCTTCTCGTTGAGGACACTCGACCTTCAACTCATAGTCTGCCAGTCCTCGTCTGCAAAGTCCGCCACTGTGACTTTTTTAAATTGGCATAATTAGGTACAATTGTATGGGTTCCGCGCTAAGCTCTCTCAGGAAACTTGATTACACCCGGTAGGCATGACAACGCATTAAAGCTACCGGAAGTTTGCCCACTCTTCACTTCTAAGCCGGCAGGACAACGAAAGAGGATAACGACTGGCAATAGCTGAGATTTAAAAAGAAATCTCACAGAATGGGGGACTTACATTCTAATACGGCATCTTCTGCGGTTTGCTAATCTGCTTCTCTAATTGCCCGGCATAACGAGTTTTGTTCCTGAACTTACTTCATTACTATTTACCTTTGTTTAAAACAGATAAAATATTCAATAAATCATATCCAAATATAATGAAACAAATTCAATAGAAATAAAAGAGCAGCAGACCCTTTGCCTTCTCGTTAAAAATTCCAGTGTCTTTATGGTGCCCAAGGAACCGAACCAAATACCCTTTATTGGCCTTATTTATTCTTCGAAAATGCTGGCAGCAATTCGGTTGCCACAGCAAAATATAATATCTTTCATCCTGCAAGGGCCTCGTTTTAAACATTCGAGGGCTTCTCAATTTCGCATTCCCATTGATCAAAGTGTGTCTGCTAAATGTGGGTTTATTAAAAATAATGATACGGCTTTTAGACGAGGCAACCGAAAATTCTAATTTGAATCAATAGCTGTAACAAAACGTTGGATGAAAATGGCACAACACCAAAATACACACACACACATCGAAAATAGGGTAAAATGGGCCTAAATGGTCTGTGTGGTCGGGAATATTTTTAGGGATAAACCGCCAGGGGGTAATTCACTTTTGCAAACGTTTCGACCAACCGTCGACAGCTCGAGGTGTTGACAGTGCCAATTTGCTGGGAGGGCGATGATGATAGCGATGGCGATGACGAATTTCTGGTTAAACTATTTGCCATCCTCTCTCCATATCACTGCGTGTGTGTGAGTGCGAATGAGTGTGTGTGTGTTTTGGTTGCGTTGCTTATGTACAATTTAATTTCATGGCGATTTGTCGACGACGACTCTGCCTTCTGCCGTCTGCCGTCTGCTGGTGAAATGTCCTGGCTGCCGTTGCGGTTGTCAGTCGTTCATCATTCCGCCGCTCGCATCCGAATCCATGTCACTCTGCTCTGGCGAGCAGTTCGCAGTTCGCAAATTGCACGGAGGAATTCACCCGGGTCCGGGTCCGGGTCCGGGTCCGGGACTCCCGACTCCCCGAATAAGTGCTGGATATAAGTCGTGGGGAATCTGGGTGGTCCTGCTGCCATTAAACATGTCACCAATGCTTCCCTTTTGTGGTTTTTGCACTGTGTGTGAACCCGATATTTATGTTTTACGCTCCCCACTTTGCATGAGTATTTGGGCCAAAGTTCGTGTTTGTTGTTGTGTGCATTTTGAGTGATTACGTCGATATCATTGATGTTGATTTATGATGATGACGATGGCCGCCTGCACGTGTGTGCGTAAATATTGCTCGAGAAATTGTCGCAAAAAATGACGAACGAAATTACAAGTTCGATGAAAGCAGGTGATACAAGATATAGGATGTTTACAAGGACATAAGCAGGCATGAAACAGGGGAACTTGAACAAAATCAACACCATTTAGGGAAAGTTCGATTGTATTTTTTTCTATACATGTAGTTTAACCCTACACAACCACCACCTTTTGTAAGAAAGTGTCGCATACCCGGCGCTTCACTGTGCGCATCTTGAGGTAGTTCTGTGGCTGAACTGTTCGTCCTGTGAATCGGTGCGGTAGGACGCACACTTGGGACTCGCACTACAAACAAAAAGTTAATTCAATAGAAATAATGAGATCCGAAAAGGTGTAAATGCAATTCATTGAAGTGCGCAGTGCAGTGGGCCACTTAAAATGCCGCAACCGCAACAGCAAACCGTTTCTGTATCTGCACGCTTCAGCCGGCTGAATGTTGGCCAGCAGAACCGCAAAACGCGGCCATCGGGGCGGCCAGTTCGAATGCAATTACGAAATCCCCCCTCCCGCGAAATTCCCAAAGAACACGGTCAAATCTACTTACGATCTTCGACGCACATGAGGCCGTCGGCCATCAGTTTGAGGCCCGTGGGACAGGCGCAGGATATGCGAGGACTCCGCTCGTTAATCCTGGGCGCTGGCAGGCAGAGATGAGAGCAGTGGCCATTGACCGACTGGCAGTGGTTGACGCCATCGGGCTGGCGGTACGGGTGGTACACGTGCACCACCATCGGATGTTCCATCTGCAGGAGAAAAAAAGGTGTGAATAAGCAACGGTTTTCAAACGGAAACTAGGTTTCTGTTGGTAAAAGTTTTTGAAAATCCATGAGGTAATAGGAAGGCATACAACGTTTCTTTGGTATATTATCACTCTCTTTTAAAGAATTTTAAATAACAAAACTCATAATGATATTAATGAAAATTATACCATTCAAGATATACTATGTTTTATGAGTAATTATATTCAGATATAAATTGATGAGTGTGTACATCGTACAAGGAACGAATTAATACGATAGCGTACGTAAAGATTTGATGAGACATACTATTTTTATATGAAATTAAAATAAATTCTTTTTAAATTTACTATCAGAAGTAGAACAGCTTCCTGCTTTGATAATTTAATTCAAGTAAATGTTGTTTATTTATGAATCGGGCAAATGCTTACCATGTGCGTCGCTGTGACAGCTTGTACATCTTCCCCGTTGAACTTGTTGGCCTTGAAGACGGCCTGTTTGTCCCAATCCGTCCAGTAGACGTAATCCTCGAAGGTGGTGATCGAGAAGGGGTGCTTCAGGTATTCCTCGGAGGCGAGAACTTGCCTCCTTTGCGAGCCATCGTAGTTGGAAGAGGAGATGGAGTTCAGCTTGCCGTCCACCCAGTAGAGGCGCTTTTGAACCAAGTCCAGGGTGATGCCATTGGGCCACTTCACATCGTAGCTGATGATCGTGGTTCGATGGGAGCCATCCATGCCCGCTCTCTCGATCCTGGGCGATGCTCCCCAGTCAGACCAGTACATCCAGCCCTCGATGGGATCCAGGGCAATTGAACGCGGAATGTCCAGCGCATCCTTCACCAGAACCTTGCCCATGCTGCCCTCGAAGTTCGTCAGCTCAATGGTGCACTTGGCGGTGTCCGTGTAGTAGACGTGGTTGTAGATCCAGTCCACAGCCAGGCCATCCGAGGTCACCGAGGACTTGGACAGCACCACGGTCTTCTCGTTGCCCTCATCGATCGGAGCCTTGTAAATGCTTTTCGTGGTGACGTCGCTCCAGAAAATCATTCCTGTGCGGAATACGAAATCCAAAGCAGTGGCTGACTTTGTACTATTTACTATAGAAGTCATTTCCGGGCGATCGAGAGAGATCTTGCGGATGTCATGACGTCTGGCGAGGAGCAGGGAGGCGTGTCCTTCGCTGGCCTTGCACCTTGTGTGATTACTTAGCAGTCTCATGTAGCCCGCCTCGCACTCGCACTTGAAGGCGCCGATCTCATTGACGCACACCTGGGAGCAGATGCCATGGATCTCACACTCGTCGATGTCCACGCAGGTGTGGTTGTCCGCCGCGAGCTTGTAGCCTTCGTGGCACTCGCAGCGGTGGCCCACCTTAAGGTCAACACATTGGTGCATGCAACCGCCGTTCTTGGAGGCGCACTCGTTCACGCCGCACTTGCCAGCGGGTTCGTCCTCGCCATTCGGGCAGTTCTTCCTGCGATCGCAGACCTGGCTAAGGGGGATGCACTGCCCTCCACCGCAATCGAACTCGGTGGTGGCGTTGCAAGTCCTCGGGACCGCATTGATGTTGCACTTCTTCTCGTCACTGCCATCCGGACAGTTCCTCTCACCGTTGCACGTCAAATGGCCGGCGATGCAGCTGCGATCGTCGCACTGGAACTGATCCGGACGACAGGACACGGCGGGGCAGCGCTCCTGCGACTCGTCCTCGCCATTGGGACAGTCGGCCTCTCCATCGCACAACCACGACATATCCAGGCAGGTGATTAAATCCGAGCACTGGAACTCGTGCCTCTGACAAAAATTGATTGTGCGGGAGCAGTTCTGTAAAAAGGAGAAAGACAACAGTTTGATATATACATATTTAAAAATTATATCATTATTCAGTCGGTTGGGTACTTAAAAATACCTAAATACAATTTCAAGGATATCGTCCTTTAACAGGCTTCCCCCAGAGAGATGAATCTCTGCGCGTGGCGAGGATAAAGGAAGTTAACTTTACTGCTGCTACAACAGTTTGCTTTTCTTGTTAAGTGCCAACCAAATATTCAGGCAGCTAAGCTCGGTTCACAAACACACACTCTCATGCAATAGCACGCACACACACACGCATATACACATACATATATATAGTAGGTCCCTGTGGCCGTTGCCTGCATTTTTTGTGTTGCATACTTTTAAGGGATGTCTGAAAGCATTTTCCACATTTTATACGCTCTGTAAGAAGAGTTATTGGACGCACTAGATCTTTGCAACATGTATTTAGTTCTACAATTTCATTTCATTTAAAAGTGCATTTTATATCTAATTTTGTTTGATAGTTCTGTGTTGATAGTTCTATGTTTATATATTCTGCACACCATACTTTTACTCGATGTCGAAAACAGCTTAAAGAGCATTGAAAAAAGGGTTTGCTGGGATAGTTTCCCCTAGTGTTTTTATTGCCATTCGGTGCCGTAGAATTTCGGGCACACCCTACTGACAACAAAAGCCATGCGTCATACATATAAATGTTTATGGGAAACAGTTGCCGACACGGTCCTCGTCGTCGTTGCCAGTTTTGAATAATGCTCGCGTCTTGCATAATTTATGCTTCCTAGCTCGCTCCACACAAATACATATTTATATGCGAGGGCTGTTGAACAGCTCGGTGTGTGTGTTGTGCCTGTATGTGTGGCTTGATAATGTGCTCCTATCAATTTTCATTGCAAGTTGAAGGTAAAGGGTAAAAGAGTTTCAAGCTACTGAAATATTACGTTTTTGTTTGATTATTTGACCAGCTGTTTTATCGTAATTTGTTTGTTAAATGCTGAAGAACATGTATACTTTGATGGAACCAAATAGTGTTTACAGATTAATTTTTTAAACTAATTGTAAAGCTTACCCGTTCATCTTCGCGGTCTCTGCAGTCGGAGTCTCCGTCGCAGCGCCACATTGCAGGGATGCAGGTACCGCTGTTACATTTGAATTCATCCGCGGTGCATTCCGGCTTTGTGCCGCAGTTCTTCTCATCCGAGTTGTCGCCGCAATCGTCGTCATCGTCGCACACAAAGCGATTCTGGATGCAACGTCCGTTGCCGCAGGTGAACTCGTCCGAGCGACACGTCCGATCTGCACAAAGTTCATTACAATGATTAGCTCGGCTTTTTCGATGCGATTTCGGGGAGGATTTCGTGATTAGATTAGTTAGTTAGTAGATGGAATGGGATGGGATGGAATGAAGTGGGGAATTGCTTGAGCCACAAAGAGTCAGGCTTTGGGGCGGGAACATTTGCTTGGGAAAAGCCAACACCATTACAAAAATTGCCAACAAACAAAGAAAGCATATAGGATATGGAAGGGATGTGAAAGTGACAACAACAGAAACAGCGCAAACACAGCTATCCAAAGTGTTGCCTTCATGTGTGTGCGTAAATATTTGTGCTTTATTGCATGCGAGTTTTAGCATAGCATAGCATCACACACAAGTTTCAGGGAAATGTGTTCATGGCACACTTAAGTGCAGGGAAAAATACACTACAGTCTACGGGAACAAAAAGCAACCAACACCAAGCATAAAAGGGGAAAAATCCAAATAAAATTCCGTTATTAAAGCAACCAACACCAAGCAGTAAAAGAGGCTAGGAAATAATCGGTTATGGCTTACTGCACTGGGCCTCATCGCTTCCGTCGCGGCAATCTTTGGTCTGATCGCACATCCAGGACAAGGGAATGCACTCGCCCCCGGACTTGCAGGCAAACTGCTCGGGCGAGCAAGTTGGGCTTCCTAAAAGAAAGTAGATCGAGATATTTTTGGAGTTGAGAGTTGTGTAGAGTATGAAAGTATTTCAAGGTGTCCATTTCCCACAATATATAAGTTTTGTGAGACAAACGTTTCTGAAACTAAATAAAATAAATAAAACAAGTTTACAAGATTATTTCACTGCTCATTCTGCATTATCTAAAGAAACTTGAAGAGTTGTCTTCCAGGATACAATCATAAAGGGACCGAAAAAACCCTCTAACTGCCTGGCTAATGGCACTTATTCTCCTTGAGATAGGAAGGCCGCCTTAAAGTAGGCAACCGAGGGCTGTCCTGTAATTAAGTTTATAAGCAGCTGCCGTTCGGAGGCGGGGATAGCAACCGTTCTCCGAGTGGTAAACATAGTTGTCATGCCGACACACAGGCGCAACCATTCGGGGGCTAAACAGTTGGCATTTTATCTAGGCAGTAATTAAGACATTATCAGCCAACACTCCATAAAGTTAAAACGCACACATGCGTATGCATTAAAGCAATTATCGCACACCCTCACACAAGAGAGAGAGACCTCCATTGAAGTTATCCTTGCCAAAGGAGCGGACATTAAACAAAGCTGACAACGCTCCCACATCCACACACCCACACACTCACACACACTCACACGTACACACACAGAGGCACATTAAAACGCTTGTGTTTAACCCTTAATGCGTATTAGTGTGGCAGTTCTCCGTGCCTCGCTTCCGTTCTTTCGCTTTCTTTCTCTCATTCATTGCCTACACGGTGCTTTGTTCCACGCTGCGTATGTGTGATTTTCGCTGATATGATTATGTACGTACATCCCCGCTGCGACCGTGTATGCGTGTTGGCAATAAAATCTTATGTCTGAGCCACATATTTGAATATGCTTTTTGGCGTTTTGTCTGCCTCCTCTTCCCTTTCCCCTTTCCCTTTTTCCTTTCCTGCCTTCTGCCTTTGTCCTTCGTCCTTGGTCCTGTCTATTTGTTTACCGTTTACACGTGCTCGGCGTACGGCGGAAATTTCTGACATCGTTGCAAATAAATTAATTTATTATTATTCGCTTCTTGGCATTCGCCATTTTTGGCGGTTGCTTAGCATGTACAACGCGTCGTATGCGTGATACGCCTTTAATTGGAATTTACTGTGACCAGCTTACCGAATTTATTCGTCGTTCGCAAGCTGAATATTTACAGAAATTGCAAGGATGCCAGCGAAAGCATTCCGAAAATTTTGTTAAATATTCGATTTTCTTTTTTAAAAGGCTTGGGGCGGCATTCACATTAAAATCATTTCCCGTTAACCTACCGCCTTTCATGGTCAGTTGAAAAAACTTTTTGATTATATCGTTTTGCCCAGGCAGCCGATATATATTCAATTATCCAATATCATTTTGCCAACCATAATTTATGGCTTCATTACATTTTCCCATGGCTTGCAAGGAAAACATTCACCGGGGGGCCTTCGTGTACGTACGGGTGTGTATAAAACTTTCCATTTTCATCCATTCGGAGGTAACTACTTGGCTGAATGGACGTTTCATTCTCGTGAGTCCATGGAGACTCAGCTTCTTCCTCGACTTCAGCTTTTGTGAGTCCTGGCAGAATCAATTTGCTGTCGTGGGTCGCAGTCAATGGACCACCGAGGTCACCCCCCTTTCCCCCAACCCTCTTCCCCCTCCCCCTTCTCCTTTCCATACTCACACATCCTGCCAGAACTTTGGTATTGTATTCAATAGCATTTTCTTGTTATCTGACGCCAAACCCCATATACTTGCAATTTGATTTTAATTTTATTTAAAATGCTTTTTAGACCATGTACAAGACATGTCCTGGTCGAGTGCAGCTGCCACGCCCCCTTCCCCATCCCTGTTCCCGTTCCGCCCGCCCCCCAACACCCCCCAACTCCCAGGCACTTGAAAGCCAATGAAGCTTAATGCCTTTGTGGGGCAGTTTGCGTTTTGTTTATTGTTCAATTCTCCCCACTCGTTCCCCCCATTCGCTCAACGGGAAGTAAAGTTCCCACATAATGGTAAACAAAGATATGAAGAGTCCGAGTGGAGTGTTAAATGGAATTAAATAACGGGGCGGGAACGATAGCTGAAAGTATCAGTTTTTGAGGGAGTAATCCTTCCCAGCGAGCTGAAATTGTTGTCCGCAAAAACCAAGTTAAATTAAGATTCACAACGGTAGCTGCATGAAAGCAGAAATGTCAACAAGGTTTGATGACAATTTTAAAGCACATAAAAGTCATAAAAAGGAACACATATCCATTTACATGAGTCGGCGCAGCTTTATGTATACACACATATACAGTTTTCATGAATGCAATAGTAGCAAAAGTTTAAGAAAACTAAAAAAAAAGTGAGAACTTAATCAAAATTGTAAGTAAACATTTCCGAAATCTCGGAGGAGAAAGATTAATTTTGTAATTTAAAGCATATTTTTAATAACATTTAAATATATATATGCACACAAAAAATCTACTTTAAAATATATTTTTTTTTATTTAAACAACAGAATTATTTGTTGTTGTATTTTATATTTTTCTTTTTTTTGCCTGATAACTGCTACTATTTTGAGCACAGCTGTGTACCCTGGCCTCCTGGTAGCCAAACTGTGAGTCGTATAAACCACAGGCTCAATTTGGAGCTGCGTTCGCCTTTTGATTACCGCTTTTTATTTTCATCAAGGATAACATCATAAAAATCGCATCATTTTTTCAATTACTTCGCTGAAATTTGCTCCGACATAAAAAGATTTTCCCTCCTCTTCTCTGACCAAGCCCTCCCATATAGTTGGAAAATTATGTCACAGACAATAAACCACTAAACAAGTTACTGTGCATAAAAATGCGAAGAGGAAAGTGGAAAACGTCCAAAAAGGAAAGAAGAAAAGAAGTGCGCCTAATGCATAAATACAAATTAGTTCCGCCGATGGTCACGTCGCGATATTGTCCGCAAGGACTGACATTAATTTATGGTCTGGTCAGTCCCAAGCAAGTCATAAAGTCCCGTCCAGATCTCCGGGGTGAACCGGGGTTCTTCATGGGGCGTGCATTTAAATTTCGATTAAGTGACCCAGCTTCTCTTGCTTTTGGTTTTAGTGATGGGCAAATCCTCCAGTTAGTATGCAAATGTGAGGAGAAGTAATTCATTCTTTTCGCTTACTGCCACATTCCAATTCGTCGGACCCGTCGCGACAGTCCAAGTCGCCATCACATCTAAATTCCCGGTGTATGCATTGCTCACCATTTTTACACATAAATCTCGAGGGAGAGCAAAGACCCCCTGTCCATATTGTAAAATTCTTACTAATAATTTTTTATTAAGGGAACTATAGATATCGGCTTAAAGGAAATTTTCGAGTATTTTCTTTTGTCTGGTTGATAGTTCATAATTGGTTATTATCAAAATATTATTGCCTATTTTACCAATTATCTCGATTACTTTTTCAACGTTTTTTTTAGCCGATATCTACCGCTTGTATTAAAAATAATGGCTGATACTTACGGCAGAGGCTCCCAGCTTCGTCGCTTCCATCGGCGCAGTCGTTCTCCCGATCGCAGACCCATCTTTGTGGAATGCATCTTCCGGAGCTGCAGCGGAAATGCTCCTCGCTGCAAGTCGACTCTGCAAGGGTAAATGTTTGAAATCAATTTTACATAACTGCTGGAGATAATGGCTTCGATAGAATATTCCCATAAATATGTATATGCTCCCGCACAGCATGGCTTGCAAACTTTTAATGCTCGAATGGTTAAGTGTGTCAAAAATAAATGTGATTTTTATGTTCCTGCGGCTTCCGCTTCAGCTTTTGTTTTAATAGTTTTCTACCATTTTATGCATAGTTTACTTTATGACTTTCCCGTTTAAATGCACCAGCAGTGGACTTTAAAGGGCTAACGAACATTCCAAAAATCTTAAACTGGTTCGCTTTAAGGAAAACAATTTGTTTGGTTGACTAAGTAAAGGAAATGCAATCAAAAGATAAAAGGAATTCTTGATTAATTTAAGTTTGTGTCGTTAAACAATTGACAGCAGAATGTGTTGTGGGCTACTGTTAAGAAAACTAAATTACTTTTGTTAAAATTCATATTTAAAATATTTTATAAAGTACTTAGTGAGCTTTGAGCTAATCTTATTGTTAATGTTGCAGCTTTTTATGTTTCTAGTATAATGGAAACAATTTGGCTTTTAATTCAAACGAATTCCCTTGAATGACATTTGCATTCCTTTCAACATGGCTTTAAGAGGATCCCAGTTTGCTCCGCCGGTTGAAGTTTTAGCCCCCCAAACGACCGAGAGTCGTTTGCCATAAACTTAAGCGCAAGTTTTGTGGCAGCACCGAACTCCGGTGCACAACTGTAGCCCCCGGAAGCCCCAAAACCAAACCCGTACCCGAAGGGGAAGCCAAATCCCAGGGGAATCAGACTCACAGCCGCCGCAGTGCGAAAAATGCGCATCACGTTCTGCGTTTTGCGTTTGGGGATTCAGAAAACTGGGAAACAGGGAAACTGGGAAACGGAAAACGTTCTGGGGTGTATTTACCTAGACAGCGGCATTTAGCGTCCCGAAAAGAACATTAAAAAAGGCTGAGAAGGGGGATTAGTTTCACGGGGTTTGCTTTTGGTTTGATTTAGTCTGTACTTAATGAGCAAAAGCATCGCCGCAAGTCAAAAGAAATGATTTAAATATTTATAATTGCATGATATCATATTGCGGTGTGGATAATTTTAATTGTGGAACATTTTCTTGCTCAAGTTCAGACCAAACATATAATTGATTTATTTGTTAATAGGAAAACGAAAAGACTGTCATAAGCAGCAAATTACACACAAGATTAAAGACATTATTATCCTCAGTTAACGCACAAACAAACATTTTTCATGAGCAATTTGCTATTTCTTATTACACAGAAAGAAACATATAGCCATTAAATGTGTGATATTAAGGACTTCTATATTCAAATTACCCTAACTAAACTTGAAGACATAAATCGTACTTGAAATAAATCGAATTTTTATGCCACTAACATGCTTTCAATGGGCGTTTTTCTCCACAGAAATTATACTTGTAAATGGCCCCTGTTTTAGTCGGTCAACAGTTTGTTGAAGTACATATATCTAAATAAATGTATGCGTTTTTTGTTCCTGTGCCTAAAAGCACTTTTCGCAGCTGCTTTGCCACTTGCCACCCAGATGCAAACTTCATTATTTACAGTCTGCCGCGTCGCGACAACGTTGGGGCAAAAGGTTTGGGGCTTTCGTGGGGTAACAAGTTGGCGCCAAAGTGGGGTGTCCCTGCCAGACAGGCTCTTAATTCCCGATAGCAACGTTCGCGGGAGGAGGACTGGCTCCCTGCAGATTATGCAATTCATTTAAAGTGCTTTCGCCGCCGCGAGGCGAGAAAATCTGATGTCAAGTCGCGCGAAAATGAATGGCACACCTGCGCCGGTAAAGTCGACGTCTATCTGACTTCTCACAAATATTTATTAAACTCCAGTGCAACACATCGATTTTGGGTGGCGCGGGGGTTATCGCAAATTGAGGTTCCCAACTGGCGACAACAAAAGTGACAAAGTCAGCCGACTTAAGGCAGAGCAAATACATCGAAAACTTTCCATACAGACACCGAGAACTAACCTCGACAAAGTTTGGTAACAATGCAGGACCTTCCTTCCCTTCCCTTCAAGGAGCAGGACACCAGTCCCCAAGCTCATTTACAGGCCGAAAGCTTGGTGCTTGGAAAAGTTGCCTTGTACTTGGGAAGTGTCCAAGGGAAAAAAGGAAAAGTTTTTGCGGTCATTCATCGATTTGGCGCATTAAAAGTTTTCTGATATTTGCCGTTTTCCAATATCCTCTCGACTTCCTTTTGTGCAAATGTATTTTGTAAAATTAATGTAGGAATTAAGTCGGCTTGGGATGTGGATGTGACGTCTTAAAAATTTCACAAATCTAATATTCACTTACAAACAAAACAAACCCAAAAAGAAACGATGTAACATAAAGTATTTTTATTGATTCGCGGGTTTTGGGATTGGAAGATGTCCTAATGAAGTTTGTCTGTCTGCCGGAGCATAAATTGAATTGTCCGATTCATTTAAACGGCGGAAGACAACAAAAAATGAAGAGAAACAGGGAAAATGCGAAAGTAAATTTCACTTTTACCCGCAACTTCTGCTGACCCTCATCTCGTCCTGTCTCGTCTCAATAAATAAATGAAAAATTTGTGCCACAGTTAAGGGGATTTTCCTTTTTCACTGTTTACAATTGTTTTTCTCCCCCGCTTTTTTATTTATTTATGTTGTGCCTTTGTTTAGAGAAGTATCTGCTTCCGCACACAGCGGGTTGTGTCGTAAAAAAAAGGCCCGCCGCTTGTTGTTTATGGCACCTTTTTCCACTTTATTGAAGTTGTACTCCGCCTCAAGTATTTCAATAAAAAAAGAGCGGGCAAATGTGGCGGCTAAGGGTTTTGTTTTCGGCCTAGGGTACATGATACCATGCCAGCCATCATAAATCATTCGCGGAGCAGAGGCCAAGAGTCACTCTAATGAGGCAAACTTTTGTGCTTCATATGGTGTGGCAACTGTTGCTGAAAATCGGACAGTGCAACAAATGGCCGCGCAATCGTGTTTTAAATGTTTGCCAATTTATATGTTAAATAAACTTGTTTCGGGAAGCGAGGCCAATAAATTGAATCGCGGATTTAGGGGGAAAAGGAAGGAGCCGTAACGTATTTGAAAAGTAATTCCCGTTTCTGTGAATTCCTGGCCAACTTAGGACCCAGACACTTCGATGGATTGCTGCGCTTAAAAATGTGCGGCATACATAATTTATGGCTTTCGGAAAAGGACAAGGACTAACGAGCAACGAACAGGCCAGGGATGTGTGACTGAAGTTATCTTAGGCCCGCAGTCGGCGCCCAGAATCCAGCAGATACACACACACAAGTATGTAGGGGATTGAGCTCCTCCTTTGAAGCGCTTTGCTTTAGATTTTTCACAATCTCACTGGGCGGGTTGCCACCCGCCAGCTTATCAGCTGCCTGGTTTTTCCAAATGTGCTGCATGAATATTTATGCCCCCCGATATCGAACACTAGCACTCCCACGACCAATGTGGGTGTCATCCACACCACATGGTGTGAAGGCTGTTTGAAAGTCCGGGAGCGTCTTCGCTGTCTTTTGTCCTTTGTCTCTGTCGGCTCACGCGGCGTATGAGTAACGCGGCTTCGTTGTTAACGGCCAGCCGGAGCTAAGTTGCCTATAAGATATTTATTTATTTACTGACTTCTAAGGCATTATTTTTGTAATTTCAATGGAGCAGGCATCGATTCCCGCCCACATCCCGTGCCACGCCCATGCATAAAAGATAGCGCCCACTGAGCGACAATAACAGTAAATTGAAATACACTTGAAGCTGGTAATGGGTCCGGGGTTTTTATTATCGAAAAACTTTGCCCGCTTGGTATTTGTTCAGTTTCTGCGAAGAATACAATAATAAGATTACCGACCGGAATCGCATCAGCTTTGAATGCTTATAAAAATTAACCGAACTTATCATTTTGTAAAATATTGTCCTTGAACTTGTATTAACACATTCCAAAAACGCAAATGAAATTCAAAAATGATAAAGTTTATAAGAAACATGTTTTCTCAGTAGAGATCCTCGTACGAATTTCAAGAATTAAATTGAAATCTTCATTGGGTGATAATAGATTTCTTAAGTAGAAAGATAATGCCATGAAAAACAACTGCAATTGGGAATCCCAGCTAAGCATGATAGTCTTTGTGCTAATCTGATTTGCGGAAATTACCATGGCACAATGATAACCCATATTCCCATCATACCCGATTCGGATGCGCTGGCAGAGTGTTGTGGCACTAATCCGGTGATGAGCAGCAGGAAGGAGAAGCCCAGGATGCTGCGTATTGGTCCCATGTCGGTTCTTCGGAGGCTCTACTGCCCTACTGCAGTGCGATGATATTCGCGCCTAAGTGCTCGGCTGAATTATTAAATTAAATTGCTGTTTATTCGGGTTTGTTGTCGCGCGAATGTTTGCACTGGGCCGTCTGCTGCGAACGTGTAATCATAATTATTTTAAATGGCAGTCAAGTGGTCGGCCAGCAAAAATGGCAGCCGGAAATATCATTATAACATCAGCAAGGCCAGAAGCAGTGGCAGTAACTCAAAAGTAGGCAACTGTTTTCCGCTCACAAATAGCACACAAATTTATGCCTGCGAAAACGTCAGTTTAATTGGTTTCATGTGCACCGAAATCATTGAAGTTTTTCCTTTCAAACGTTTAAATTGAATTTATGTGGTGGTTTATTAATGGCTTTATATTATACGTAAATATTGCTCGGTGTTTTCCTGGTTAATATCGCTATTATTCTGTTTATATTATTGTTTTTTCATAGAGAAGCAATTGTTCAATTTGTTTCTCTTTATCGCCTTACTCAAATAAACATTTTTATACCCGAAATGCTTTAACACTGTACAAGTCTTAATTATATTTTGAGTTTTGCTATCGTTGTTTTTACAGTTTGCGCAATTCCCACGCGTTTAACGCTTTAATTAAGCCACTTTTTTATGTCTAGTTGTTGTTGAATAATTATGAACGTGGTTGCTTTATCACAACTTCAGATAATCCCCGCACGGAACTTTTTTTTCCAGGACAGTTGAGTTAAGCCACGTTGAGTGTTTACATTTAATTGCAATTTTGTACTTTGACATGTCAGCAGGAATTAAAACGATTTCAAACGCTTCACAGCAGGGAATTTAAAATGAAAATTGATAATAATAAATAACAATTATGACGGATTAAAGCAAAGGGAAAGTGTGAAGATTAAGTGCTATTCAAGTGGCTTGTAATTCGAAATGCTGCTAATTTGGCAACTTTCTGGTATTTGGTTTGCGTTCGGTGTCAAGTTCATGTAACCCAACTCAAAACAAAGGCAAATCTTTGCAAATCAGAACAAAATTATGCCAACCCGTAAAGAGCGTTTCTAAGAGATGAGCCGAAAAAAGAGCGGGCGGGTGGCCCAAATGAAAATGTAATAAAAAGTGGCGCGCAGAAGCGTGAAAAAAACACAAACTCAAAAAACGGAAAGGGAAAAACACACACACACACACAGGCGCTGCGGAAAAGCTTCCGTTTTTGGGGAAAAAGCTGCTGTTGCTTTGAAAGCGGATGCCTTTTGATGTTACCGCCAAAGAGACGCCAGCAAACTGTTTTCAGTCTGTCTGCTAACGTTTGTCGGCCCGATTTGGCCTTGCCATTGATTTTTGTTGGCCGACAACAGCTGTTTAGGCCGCAGAATTTTGAATTAGATTTTATAATGGATTTTTTTATAAAATATATTTAAATATTTTAAATTGAATTATATTTTCATTTTGAATTATATTTTTATATTATTATTAAAATGTCACTTTTGAACCTACAATATATCACTGCTTCGCTTTATTATTATTTTTGCCGCCTTGGAGTCCTGAAATCTCAGTTATCCTGGCTTAAAAGCACGCACGTCCGTTTCTTTGCAGAGCTCGACGCAAACTGAGTTTTGTTTGGTCTTCGTTTCATCTGGATGGATTCAGTAGCATTTTTTTACAGCCTCCACGGCAGAGCTTGCACTCAAATGATAAGAGTTTAGCTCAAAGCTACCACTCAAAGGTTTTTCTCACTCGGTGAGTGAGTTAATTTGGCAATGGAACTTACAAAACCTTTTGGACTCCACCCTAATGGTGACTTAAATTTGCGCACAATTATTTCGTGGATTGTCAACACAAGTAAAAACCCTTAGACCCAATAACCTTATAGCACTTGTAATTAATCTAAAGTGTTACAAGCGGCGCCTTTTTTTTACAACAGGCGTCAACTAATTTAGTTCTGCTGATAAGGTTAGTCTTTGTCCCCTTGTTTCGATCCGCTGATCCGGGAAAACTATTGTTGTTTTCACATTTGATTTGAATCGAGCTTGAACCGCTTTTTGCTTTTTGCCAGCTACGCCGTATCAAATGATTTTGGCTGTCATCATCAAAAAAAAAAAGCCCAGGGTTCTATCGAAATATGAAAATACATTTGAGATTTGATTTATTCGCATACATCGAATTTATTTATTATTTATTTCGTACAATAAAGTGCATGCAATAACTTATATTTTTATTTAGTTTAAACTCACAAAAATTTGGATTTTTTTTAACGGAAGCATGTCCGCAAATATTTTAAATTAATGAAATTATTGCTTTTTATTGAGCAAATAACAGGAAATGAGAGAAATCTATTAAAGTCTTAAGGAAAATACAGTATTGATTGCATTTCACTATTTACAACACCTTAAGTGTTTTAATTCGAAAAAGGTTTTCTTATCAGTAAACTGTAACCTTTTTGATTTGTTGACAAATTAGCCCTTTCAGCTTTGCAAAACATCAGCATATGATTTCAATTCCCAATAATGCTATTAAATACTGTGAGCAATCAAGTGCAATTGAGATTTTTGTTCTCTGAGTGATTAAATCCATTCAGTTTGAGCACTTTTCAACCAGTTTATCATATAAGCCTGATGCAATGACTTTGGTAAATTGCACTTGACTTGCCTATAGTTTCCCCGAATAAGTCTAATTTCGAAAGGAACTGGCTTGCTGGATTGTTGGTAATTTACCAGGCGTGTTCTTGGCTTAAGACCCCTATACTGTATATAATTGCGTCTCTGCTGAGTTCTGTGCCTGAAGACTAAGCCCCAAGTCCGTACCCAATATTTACGACTCGCAGTGTTTGGAGCATTGCTGCCTGAAAGTAGGCAATGTTGAGTTTTTGGAAGCACAAGCTAAAAACAAAACCAACGAACCGTGGACCGTAACAGACTGGTCTGCTAACCAAACTTAAATTAAATACAGAGGCTAATAAAAAAACTAACACACAGACGGAGTGTAAAAATTAAATGAAAATAAATTCGGGGAGTCAGGGGATTTTGGGAATTCCGAGTCTTGCCTACATGACACTAAATAAACAGCCAGTTGTTACTTACTCAACAGCGAAGCCAAACAAATGGCAAAACACCAAAAAAGCAAAAAAAAAAAAACCAATACGAAAGCAAACAGGACACGCAGAGCGAAGTAAATGGTTAGTTCTGTGACATTTCTAAATTGAAAAACTACAAATGACTGACAACAGATTAGAGCGAGAGCGCACGTAGTTCGCCGGCAACAGCTGGGTTTCAGGTCCTGCCTCCGCCGTAAATCCCTATCCCGCTTTGAAGCCCCATTCCGTAGCCGGGACTTGACTTTGTAGATGCCATGGCCACACACACACAAAAAATAAATAAAAAAGAACACCAGCTAGGAGCAGAGAAATTGGCAAAACTTTCTCTTAAAAGGATACAGCTAGAAGAAACTCGCCTGGAAATACATTTTACGGCTGTGGCTGTTGATTTCTTTCAAGTGCGATGTTTTGAGCAACCTTTCGAGTGTATTTGAATAAGACAACAGCTGAAGTGAAGGCCTAATCAGAGCCGGAAAGATTCAAATTGAAAAAGAAAAACCCTGACAAGGACCGAGCCCTGTTGAGTTTTCGGTAGTTGATTTACACAAATTCAACGATCATCGTTGAAATGAAAATTCAGAATTCAGAAAGAACTAAAACATGTTTTCATATAAGTTGCATGCATGTGAAATCGATTTTACACACTCACAAGAAATTGTACTGTCTATTTTCAACTGACTATGCAATTTATTTTAATTTTTTGGTAACTCAATATGTTGCTTTTAATATACATACATTCATATTTATAATTACATTTATTTATAGAAGGAAACCATTTAAAGAGTTTAAAATTTAAAACTATATTGAATTTACTAGTTACTACCTGTTTTGGAGCATACAAATACACGTTTAATTTATGGGTTGAAGTAAGGGAATTTCTACATTGTGGTGGAGCTTTTCTCACTGTGCACTCACCTATGAACTTGCACTCCGCCAGACGCTCGTCACTGTGGTCCGGGCAATCGGAGTCGCCATCGCACACAAACCGTATGGGGATACAATCGCCGTTGGAGCACTGGAACTGCTTCTCACTGCAGTAGGTGGACAGGCTGTGCGCTGCAAAATCAAATGCATATTAATTAATTAAGTTGAAATCCTCGGGTTAGCCGCAGACTATAATTAAACGGAAACCGTAGTCGGGTCTCGTCCCACAGGGAGGGCCTAATAAAATTCATAACTAAAATTTAAGTTGAAAACTTTGGCTCGTTAAGCACACACTAAGGAGCAGGGATAGCGATGGCTTCCCAAGTTGGTAAGTGGGAAAATGGGGGGAAGGCGTTTGTTGACAAGCCTTAAAACCCTTTTTAATGAAAGCCGAGACTTGACAATAAACAAAAACTTGTAAATAATGAAATCCAGCCGAAGGGCGAGGCTTACACATGTCTATATACATATATATGTATATAAACGGGTAAGTGGGTGTTTCTGCGGTCTATGTTTCTGTGGTGGACCGCAAAAGGACCCCAAATTGAAGGCGCAAAGTTTTTGGAAATTAATAAGCGAGAATTTGATGGCAGCTAGTTGGAAAGTGTCGGCTGGGATTGCTTCATCAATCGTTTTACGGGCCACTTGACATTTCACTCGGCCGCTCTAATCTGTCTTTCATTTGCTGAGCCTCTGGCCCGATTAGCATATATGCTAAAGCCATGCGACTTTCGGTTAATGTGCCGCCATTATGCCAAAGTGTCTCAGTTCTGCGTGAGTGTGTGTGTGTGTGTGTGTGTGTTTGTGAGGTGGTCTATCCGCGTGCCATTTACCGTTTAATTGCGCGCATTTAACACAAATTGACAATTGCTTGGGCAACGTCACACTCACGCACGAGCTCACCGAGAAAGTCACGCACACTCTCACATGCTCCTTAGAGTGGACCTTACAAAATAACATACCCAATTTAAAGTTTTTGTTTTACAATTAAATATACCACGAACACAATAAAAATTTTACAACATATAATTTTTTAAGAATTAGAGAAAAATAGTGCAACTCCTTTAAACTGGTTTTGGTCCACTCCTTCGCCCGGATACATACGCATTTAATTGCAAAATCAGACCTGTCATGCATTTCCCTCAGCACACATACAAACTTCCAGGAGGAACTCACACACACTCACATTTTCAGGATGCTTGGGTGACACGCATTCTACGAAGATATGTGTGTGTCGGTTCATTATCTTGGGAAATTTAAGACACGAAAGACTTCAAATTCCAACTGCTAAAGCTTCAAATTTTTTAGCTGATTGTATTTCAGCTTCTTTTGGCTGCATTTTGCATTTTTTAGGTGCATGCATCTGTATTTATTTGCCAAAAAATATTCAACGCTTCTATTTCCCCGCCTTTTGCCGCTTTTCATTCTTGTGTGAGCTGAAAATATTTTATTAGTCTCCGTAAATTATTAAAAATGTGCGCACACACTTTGAATTTATGAAAAGAGTTTTGTTTGCTCCCGCTGTATGTGTGAGTGTGTGTTTGTGTGTGCGTACACTTGTTTGGTGCTCAGATATTGCAATTGCTTTTGTAGACGAATCTGTATGTAAATGTGCAATGCAATTTGCATTTTAAGTGAGTCGTTTAGTAGCTTAATTGAAATAAATATTAAAAGAAAATTCCCCATCCGATCCATTTGGCAGGGTTTAAACTAGTACGTGTGTGCTGTGCTAAAAACATTCGGAAAGTAAATTTATTCACCTTCTTTTAGCATGCTCTTTATTTGCTTGTCCAGAAATATATTTTATGGCTAGCAATTGGTTAAAAAATACACACAAATTAATAGTACAGTTTTCAACTGTTAAGCTAGTTTGTTTTAATTCGCAAAGGTAACTAAGAGCACACATTCTGAGAGCCTGAACTATTTATTGCAATGTTCTTAACAAAATGGTAAGTCAAGCTGCAAACAAAATTTTAATGGCAAGGCATTATTAATTAAAGAAAAGATATTCTGAATGTAAGTCCGTTTATGTAGGTTTTGTGTAAAAAAATAAAACAAAAGTAAAAGTTGACGCTTTTCCCTGAATGTTGCTTATCATTTTCCTCATCATTTACTTATTTCCACGGCAATTCACCCAGTTCTCTGAGCTAGCCATTTCAAACAAATTAAATCAGTGGGGCAACAATTTCTGGTGTGCTCGACAAAGACCACAGCCATGGAATCACTGCTTTCGCCGGCAATAGCGCCAATTTGATTGACAGAATCACAAATGTCCGACCAGCAGAGAAGAAACATCAGGCAACTGGCCAATTAAATGCTTAATGCGAAGTTCATTGAACAGTTTTATTTTACTTTATTCCTCGCTCTCGCCCAGGAATCAATCAGGAAAGAAAATGCTGGTCAAGAGTATTTCACATGAAAATTTCGCACCATTAATTCAATGACAGCAAAGGGCATGACAGGAGGGCTGTCTTGGTTAGCCAAGAGGGCGAAATAATAAACAGAAATCAGCGCAGAAGTCAATCAGAGTTCAAATCAATATAAATGCTTTATTAATGGCACGAAAGGTTGCCGATTTTTGTCCGTAACCTCCCGATTTGATTACGCCTGCAATCCTATTAATAGTTGGTGATTAATCACTGATTCGCCCATGGTCAACTACACCGCAATAACAGCGGGGTATTACGCAAATTAATCGAAATATTTCTAGTTCATTTAGATAAAATGGAACACCGCCATATATGATAGCGAAAATTTTGCACCTCACCGTCGCCGTCTGTAGATTAAAACTTTTTACGCACTGGTTTTAAAAATGTAATTATTCCATTTTCGGCTATACTTGTTTTTAGAACGTCACAAGCCTTTTAAGAATGGGAGTTTCCATTGCCCTTTAACACTCTTAAGTGAAATTAAAAGTACATTTTAACCTAAACTGGTTACTTTGTGATATTTGTGTTTGTTTTAAAAATTTACATGTTGACTACATAGTTCTGCTATAGTGCTTTAACTACTTAAAAGTCGGTAGGGAGTCATGGGGATTAATTGGCTAACTATGTGCTAACAACTTTAATATCTTTGTTGTTCTTAAATATTAGAATTTCATCGCCTGTTATGCAATCTCAAAAATCATTAAACAATACTATGCTAAGTTTAATAATAAATAGTCGTTTTATTTGAATTTATTTTCTTAGACATTAAAAATCGCTATTATAGGTAATCTTTTTTCAATTGTAATAATTACATTTAATTTTGAAATCATGGTATTGGAACTTTTTGATCCGTTTTGTTTTGGTCTTTTACAAAACAATTTTTTTCTATATGAGAATTAACTATCTTAATTGCTGGAAGCGCCTGCTGTTCACTTCAGATAAGACAGATAACCTTCTAAGTGGCAAAAAAAGCAAAACTAAAACCCTATCTATAGGACTACGATTTTGACCTTATCAACACCACGTAACGTTCCAAAACCTTTATAAATGGTTATTGTAGTATTTATGGCAGAAATAGATTCAGACTTAGTCATAAATTGATTTCCGAAGTAAGCGGAAGATTAATAAATTTTCTTATCGTATATGCGTCGAAAATAAGTTTCGACGAATAAGATAGTTAGAATTTTAATCTTGTAGTTCAGCATGATTAGCATGAAAAGATTAGGCTGAGTCATATATAGTCATGCAGCACTGATATTTTAAAATACTGTAGATACAATCTTTACATTTTTTTTTATATACATAAGTATTCGGACGCACCCCAACTATTATCTTATAATTATAATAATTTCGTGTGATTTTTTTCCACTGCGTTAGAGATAACATTTGAGTTGATAAAAGCAGGTACCTTTGGTACGACGATAAAGAATAATCAAATAATTGTATAATCATGTGAACATTGCGCTTTGGATATCATACCGTACAGTTGATACTCGTTTGGATCGCCAATTCTGAAACCCGAAAAAGTTCAAGTATTTTGGCTCTTAAAAGTCAAAAAATAAAGAGAAACTGGACTGCTCTTAAATGTTGGCAAGAGATGATAATTTGTTGGGTATGCTTCAGTACGAGTGTCATGTTATTGTTTTTGTTGCTGTTTCAGTTTCTGTTTAATGGGAAAAAAGGTGGCCTGATCGCTAACGTCATAGCCTTACCAAAACAGCTAAACAACATTATTAACAACAATAACAATTACTCACACATGTGTTGGCCCAAGTTGTTTGGGCGTTGAAAATGGCATTAAGATGACTCAGTACTATCTGCTAATAATGAATGATGTTCCTTATAGTTGCTGGGAATTTCGCCAACGTCATCAGCTGTGTGCTGTTAGATATAGCGCCAGATATAGCTTCCCCATAGGAATTTCAAATGCAATGAGATTTAATGGGAACTTTTTTTGCTATTGGCTAGCCAACACATCACGCCACCTTTTCGCCTTGTAAATGAGTTTGGCCCGTCGACGTTGCGTATGCGTAATATTTTAATTGAAAAAATAGAAAACCAATGAGGAAAGAGAAACCCGCTGGGCTGTATGGGAAATAGTGGCAAGTGGAAGGTCAAGAAGGGACTGACCATCACACCTCTTTGTGAGTTCTCATTAGACCAGCATTGAGATACAGTTAACACCGTTTTATTGTGTTTTGCATGCATCGCTTATGAAATTTGTCACTCGAACACGAACAATTGCATTGCACTTATTTGGTTTCCATTTGTGCGGGAAAACCAGTTTTCGACAAAAACAAAAAGAAAATCGTTTTTTGCCCCATAATTATACATAATGGCAAATGCTGTTGTAATTAAGGCTGCTCGGCTATAATGCAACACTCGCAACGAACTTCCAGGGACCAAGTTTTAAATGGACAGTCGCATCCAGAGCACGTGCAAATTCCAGGCATAATTAGCCAAGTTAATTATAAAAGTCCCGGCCAAGTTGAGACTGGCCGACAGTTTTTTTATATTTTTTTTTAATATCCAGTGAGCAAACTTGTTTAAATTCGATTTTGAAATAAATCAGCCCAGCCAGGAAGTCGAAGCCTGGGAACCTTACGTTGTCGCAGTCGGAGGCAGTCATTAAGCTGTCAAGGACGTGCCCAGAACTTGCTGCCAAATGAGAGTTGTCACTTTTACCCCTCCGCCCCCCGTTCTCATCCAAGTCTTCCAAGTAATTCGCACAGATTTCGATTTTACGGGTTCCAAGTTTAGTTGGACGGAAATAACTGCCATCTGGGCCTGCCGTGACCTATTTCCCCTATTAAAACCTGTCTAACCATTTATTTGACACTTGAGCTTCAGCCTTTATTGAATCTGTCGGAAATACAGCTAAAATGCATTTACTCATAAGTTGAATTGGTTATCTCTTCTGATTGGAACTATTTATAACGGCTAAAATTCATTTGACATAGATAGCGAACTATCTTACGATGCATCGGTTTTTAAATCGTTAGTCCCACTTTCAATCATCCGCATTTAACCTTTAAGCTGGGGCTATTGTCATGACCCAGCGTTATTCATTTTGTTTTTAACTTTGACATTCGCTGGGGTAAATTAAAGCGTTTAAATTTTTCATTTTTTGCCAATTTGAAGGTTTAACACAAATTTTTAAACAAGCTTGCTTAGACTTTATCGATTTGTGATTCCCCTACTTTGAATTTCATGAATAGGACTTCCTGGTTCAAAACTAATCAATGTAAACATGCCTTTCTTTTAAATTGTAAATTCTTGGATTTGTATTTTGACAATTGTCTAGAAAAGCTGCAAATTTTAAAGGTGGAGTTGAATGTTAAATGTCGCTGGGCAATAATTATAATTTTAAACGAGATGACGCAGCTATTAAGTTTAGCTCGGCAACTAAAAGTGTTTATAAATAAATCGAGCTTATTCCAGTTTTTATTGTAAGTGTTTATCTGCCACGTGCTGGAGTCATTTCAAAACTAACTCCGACCAATGTGCAGAGGCAAGAAACTCCAAGAATCAGACACTTGTTGCTCTTTTTGTTCTCTTTTCCCCTGTCTACCATTCGGCTTCGCTCCTCTTCTCTCTTTCTTCGGGTATTCTCTCCAAGTTTCACAAGAGCCGCCGGAGTTTAAGTCTTCAAGTGGCGCTCCACTCGCTTCATGGAGCGAAGCCGGCCGGTAGAAAATATAAGCATAAAATGGAATAATTACAAAGGGGGAAGCAGAACCAACAAAGAGTGTGCACTTGAAGAAATATATAGAGTATCTTCACTTTACTTGAAGTTCTTTTTAAGCTCGAAAGAATTTTATTTGTGTTAAATTAACCTTTACAACTCAAGGCACCATTGTTAATGTTAGGATTTTAATTAAAAGTTTTTTTCAGTGTAAGCAGAGGTTAGTGCTGAGGAAAGTAAAAGGTTTCTGCTGACTGGAATGAGTGGAAAGGAGTTGGCAACAGGGGGAAGAGCGCTGCAGTCTCAAAATCGAATGACGTTGTGGAATGTTGAGACATGGAAATGGAAGTGGAGTTTACTGGCATTGCCAGACGCTTCGGCTTTCGGCTCGCCGCAAAATTCACATAAATAAAACTTGAGCCGAGCCAAGTGTAAATCGGAGTCGGAGCCTTGGTAAAAATCGAAGCCGGACTGGAAATCGGAGTTTCATGTGTAGCCGTGGCTGGTGGCATGATCGCCAGAAATGCGAGAAACGGCGGCAACAACAATAAACACAGTCGCCCCTTACACTCGAAGAAGATCTGATAAATGTATGCCGCAATGGGAATTAAATTAACAATAACCATTAAAGAAATTTAAGGGGCATGCTATCAAAGTTTTCTTACAATCATACTTTTATTTAATTTATACATTTATTTTTTATAACCATTATCTGCCTTTTCAGATTAGTTAAGCTTAAGTTACATTTGTAACAGATAAACAAAATTCCAATCTATATCAGTTTGCAAAAGACTTACCGTTTTATTGTGTTTCATTTTTTATGGTTAAAAGAACTTAAGCTTGTTATAAATAAATATTCTATTATGACTTCAAAGAATCAATGTTATGGGGTGATCCTAATGAATCATAGGGCTAAGTTAATATTGCATTTCACTGAATTGTCGACATCAAAGCTTAGAAACATTTATGAATCACACGAACAATTCATGTTTTGATTGAAAAATTCTTTCAGAACAATGACTTCATAAAATTAATTTATATGATTTTCTTTGAATTTATAAATCTAGTTTTCCTCACATTTTTTAACTTTTGTTGTAGAAATAAATCAAGTTGGGAACTCACATATATCCAGTGGGGTGCCGATCTTGCCTGACACATTCAGGAACTTGAAGGGGTTTCCGTTGAGCACCGAGTTGATGGAGTTGCCGAAGTTGCCCATTCCGATCCCCATCCCAGATCCGATCCCAGGACTTATGCTGTTCGCTGCCGCGGGAGCCAGGTGTTTTAGCCGATCGAGGGGCGGTCCTAGAGTACTGGCTTTCAGCCGCTCAAATAGCGCCGATCCGCTCAGATTGTGCATTATCTCGCTGGCAGTGGGCGTGGCAGCGGTTACCTGTGCGGCATTGACCGCTGCCGCATTGCAGAACTTGGTTATGCTGCAGATGAAGAGCAGGTGGAACGAGGAGGTGAAACTGAAGCTGATCAGCTGTTGAATTCTGCTGTGGTAATTTGTGCTGGCGCTGAAGAAGAAGCCGCTGGTTTTGGATGTTTCCCGGCTAGAACTGCTACCACTTTCATTTGTTGGTAATTCGGACTGCGGGGTTTGAAAGTGTTCCGTGAATTGCAGCTCACAAGCTGTTGCCATCTTTCGGAGCTGCTAGAAGATATAAGAATGCACTTTAGCCTCAGTGGGTCACACACGCTTTTCACTCTAATTCGATTTAGCAACTTATTTATACACGATCATCTTATTAAATAATAAGTCCAAGCGAAATACACGCAACGTTTGCCAAAAAATGTCACAAATGGGAGAGAATGATTCGAATGTATCGGGAAGAGAGTGCGAGGCAAAGGCATGATAAACATGCCGAAAAAGCCACGACTGAAAAAAGAAACATCATACGATGTTGCGAAAAAACAGCATAAGAGCAAAACACGAAATACACACTGAAAAGTGCAAACTAAGGGCGACGACTTTGGCCAAAACGAGGGTTAAGCTGGCTTCCATCTCGTTCTTTTGTGGTGTGTCTTTCTCTTTCCTGTTTTATTTGAATATGTGAGTTATCAGCGCTGTAAAGTGTGATAAGCCAGGTAAGCCTGGCAAGTCAGGCGGCGGTCTACCCATTGACACCATTCCCTGCCCGAATTTGTTCTGGTTTTCCAAATTTTATATTTATTTTGTTTATTAGGCGGAAAAAACACATGTTCGGCGAAATTTTATGCTGTTTCTTTCACATGACATATTGACGTAACGTTTGGTTAAAATAGATTCGTACATTATTTTTCAATTAACACTTTTTTCGCTCGACAAATACGATGAGCTGGCCTTAAAGCCTCGGATTGAACTTTTTTATTTGCGTTGAACTTTTGCTTTTCGAAACTTTTTCGCGCTCCGAAATTTCTCGGTTTAACGGTGAAGTTATATCCAAAAGCGTGCAGCGGATACGCGATGTGCGATATGACGACAACCTAACGGCACGCACTACGACAGACTGCCGGTGGCACATTATTTTTTATCCGAGCGGACCAATGGCACCGATTGCCAGACTTCGGCGGCGCTCGGGTTTCATTCGGCGGCGAACCGAAGATCGCCACGCGTACAAGCCGATCTCACCTGTTTAAAAAGAGAGAACGTCTGTCAGCCCGTCGTTGTTGTTGGGGCTATCGAAAGAGCGCCCCAGCGATCGTAAAATACGAGCCCCCAAACCCAAGAGATAGCAAAACCAAAGAGCACGACCAGCTGACATTGAAATGGAATCCGACAAGTGGTTCTCTCTTACTTCGCCCTCGTCGATCGTGCAACAATCAATTTCGGAGGTGTGTTCCACTGTTTGGCGTTCCATGTCAATTACTACGATAATTTCTAAAATAATAGGTCTAAATTGTTTGTTGGCATGGGTCAAGCAGTCAAGGTATCGATTAAAACAATAACATGATTTGTAAATAGATACAGTTGTGCCTCCAATGTATAATAATTCCGTTGGAATTCCATTACTACCCAAGAAAATGCCACCAAATACTGAACATAAATTGGTACCAAAGATGTATGCTAGACATAAGTATGTTCTGAGTTTATTATTCATTATATTTCTTTTAGTGGGGAAACATATACATTTGTATGTACACTTAACAAATACAGTTAACAAAAGGCTAATACGTATGTAGTAATAATGGTAATAAAACGATTCTGCTCCTCGACAACAGAAATATAATTTCTCAACTCGCTCTAATAGTAGACCATAAGCATTATGATCATTCATGTCATGTTTACGTATAATAATATGAATTTGCTTCATTTAAAAATAATGCACACTTACAGCTATATACAGTTTGGAACTATGTAATTTATAATTAGCAATTAGATTTCTCTTAAACTTCTCGTTTTGTTTTACGTTTTTCGCTACACTGTTTTTTTTGTTTTTTGTTTGTTTGTTTGTTTGTGATAGAACTCTGCGACATAGTATTTTGTACAGCATCCTTTAAGGATGCGCCCCAAGGTGACCCGCCGTCCTTGCCGTGCCTTATAATTTTTAAAATAATTAATTTACACAATACACAGAGTTGCTCAGTCTTCAGGCGCGTGTTTTTCTGCCGCGGGTCTCGAGTTAGCTTCGGTCATCAAAGTTATCCGGCGACCAAGCAAAATAATCATCTAATCCACATTCAACACGATTCCACCAATCTAATACGAGGATATGCCTATGACGGGTGAGTACTGTAAAATAGAAACAAAAATAAAAGTTAGTGAAAGAATTAAGCAGCTTGTTTAAAGTTAAATGAATAAAGTTTGTCCTCCGAAATAATTCAATTAATTTAATTATCTGAATGGAAACCCACCTCCTCATCCATGACACTGGTGTGGTCGTAGATCCGTGATGGCAGGTTTTTGCGCAGACTGAAATGATCCTCTGTGGTTGTGGTCTTCCGGTAGATGGGATTCTCGAAGTTCATCGAGTTGATGCGTCGCTTGCTGCAGTAGCGGTAGCCGATGAGCAGGAGCTGCAAGTGTTCGGGGGATTTGATTAGTTTTTGCCACACTCGGTCACCCAGCTGGGGCATCCATTTACTTACCACCGATAGCAGGACTGCGAAGCCACTGAGACTGGCTATAACCACCAGCGCAATGAAGCCGGAATCCGGCTGCTCGCTGGGCGTTGTGGTCTTTTCGATTTGAGTCTGGTTTTTCACTGGACGCTGGTCGGCAACTGCGGGGAAAATAGTTTCGAATTTAATTGAATTTTCAATAAAATGGCTCGACATATACGAGTATGAACACAAAAATAACAAAAAAGAATATGCACAGGCAAACACTTATTTTATACAACAAATAAAAACATTTTTACATTTAGTTATTACGCATACCAAAAATAATGATGTAAAATTTGATATATCAAACTTTTTCAGCTTTTAGTTAGGTTCACCAAAACGATTTCAACGATTTACGCTTCCAGACACAATTTCATGTATAAAAACTCAATTAAATTTTATCCCCACAAAAGCTTTTTATAATTTAAGTCCAGCTTATACAGATATCCAAAAATAAGAGTGACGAAATTGTACTTTTGGAGCTACGTGAATTTATTTGTGGAGCACATACGACATTCTTACCCCTTTAAGACCCGGCTTTTTATACACAAAGTCGGGGCTTAAGCGCAACTTCACCTCCGGCAATGATAAACAAAGGGAAACTGTATAAAAAGAAAACGGAAATCATTGCAATAAAAGAGCAGAGTGAAAAGGGAATCAACATCAAAATCCAAGCGGCTTAGAGTCGCCGCAGCTCCTTCGTTTCGTTTCTCCAGAGATGCGAAGGAATTTTCAATCAAATCGCTCAAAGTGCGCATTTAGGCGCAAATAAACACTTAAACGCGCTCGCGCCTTTGATGGCGCAAACTTTTATGTGAAAGAAGCGGCCTGCCGCCGCCGATTTAGATTGGGAATGGAAACGGCAGCAGCAACAGTGATGGCAATGGCAATGGCAGCCTAATGACATCGTTAACGCGGCGCATTTAATAGGATTTTGTCAGCCAGCTGAGGAGGAGGACTGGCTCTAGTCAAAACAGTAAAAGTTATCAACATTAAGTTGAGCCGCACTTTAAAGCAAACGCTCCACTGGGGGACAGCTGACAGGAGACCGAAGAACCCCCAATATTAACCTCATACTTTGCGGCTGGGGATTGTGGCAACACGGCTGGGGTGATGGGGTGCTGGGGTAATGGGGTGATGGAGTGGGGTTTCCTGTTGGGGTTTCAATTGCACTGCCGTTCCATCGCAAGCCTACTTGCGGTTGCCAGCGATGCAAGTGGCTCCGCTGCGATGGCATTTATGAAACTGTCAAGGATGTGGGACGACGTCCCCTTCTCCCACCCCCAAACTCCTGATGATGATTAATGTGGGCCATGACAAAGCAAACGCTGTGGACTGGGTGGCGCAAAAGGACCTCGGTTGAGTGGGAATCTTGGCGAGCGGCTTGATTAATACGCTTGCAATAAATCTGAATCCCACGGAAGTGTTTATAAACAGCACGTGAATGGGGAAAAAAACACTGTCAGAGAAAGACGTCGAACTTATAAATTGAGAGGAAGTCGACGGGTTGTCAACCCATCCAAAGGGATAACTATCGCAGCTCCTCTCGGGACTTATTAATCAAAATTTCCGTTGACGTCCTGCTGATGGAGTTTTCTTCGTTTCCGTTATGCCAGTTGAAAATCTGGTGTTGAATGACAAGATGGGTTAATGGGGGAGCGAGTTCCAAAAGAACTTGTGCATGATTGAACCGTCAAAAATTTGTTAAGCAATTTCGGCGAAAACATTGAAAGATTGATTATGATAATTAGCTCTCGAAATTGCAAAGTTGTGGGCTATGGAAATAAAGATTCATGGGAAACTAGGAATAATCTGACATGAACAGGGGTCAAAAAACGAACCATCACCTTTCTAAATAATTTTAACGCAGCGCGTTCAGGAATTCCAAGGCAAATGTTTAGATGTATGTCACGTTGGGCTATGAAGGTGCAGTGCTGGGACTTCTCTGCGAAAGCCAACTAAAATTCAAACGGACCAAATATTACCTTATTGGTACATCTTCTAAGATATTTTTGAGGCAACACATAAACAACATTGGACATTACAAGACAATCACATAGAACAAAGTGGGCTTAATTTTAGTTTTGCATGTACATTGGTGTAATTATAAACATTTCAAAAACAATCTTTTAAAAATTTCTAAGCTCTTAAAATGATAATAGTTTTATAAACCTATTCTTTTCTTTTAAAAATTTTGAAAAAAGCGCAAAACTAGTTTTAAAAACGACTTCCCGGACAAAATGAGGACAACACAGTGAGGGGTCCCCTTTTAAAGAAGTACCCCCACAGCACAGGACACAGAACAGGGTTGTCAGGCCTACCGAAATTCGCTGGCAACAAGGGCAGCCTCGTGCTCAACTGGAGATCCTCGTTCACCCGGATCCGAACATCAGCATATCCCACTTGGACACCCGTGGGCAATCGTCTCAGTGGGGTTTTGGTTTTCGGTTTCGTTTTTCTGGCTCGCGGGGGCTTTGTGCTGGGGGCTACGTAAAGAGCTGCATGCATGTGCAAGTCATGCCGGATGGGGGATTCGGGTTTAAGGGGTTTATTAGTAAGCATTAAATCAAAACGTAAGCCATGCTGGTTAAATCAGAAGCAAAGGGCTAAGGAAAGATAGAAAATATTGGCGAGTACTTACGATCTTCGACGCACATGAGGCCGTCAGCCATCAGTTTGAGGCCCGTGGGACAGGCGCAGGATATTCGAGGACTCCGCTCGTTAATCCTGGGCGCTGGCAGGCAGAGATGAGAGCAGTGGCCATTAACCGACTGGCAGTGGTTGACGCCATCGGGCTGGCGGTACGGGTGGTATACGTGCACCACCATCGGATGCTGGAGCTGCAAGGAAAATAATGGGAAAAATAAAAGAATTAATTTAAGGAAAAAGCAAATATAAATATGTATAATAATTAGTTATGAATTTGATGATAAGGCTTACCATATGCACTGCAGTGACTGGCTCCACATCTTCCCCTGTGAACTTATTCGCCTTGAAGACGGCTTGTTTGTCCCAATCTGTCCAGTAAACATAATCCTCGAAGGTGGTGATTGAGAAGGGATGCCTCAGGTATTCCCCGGAATAGAGAACCTGCCTCCTTTGCGAACCATCGTAGTTGGCCGAGGAGATGACGTTCAGCTTGCCGTCCACCCAGTAGATGCGTTTCGTCACCAGATCCAGAGTGATGCCATTGGGCCACTTGACGTCGTAGCTGATGATCGTAGTTCGGTGGGATCCATCCATGCCCGCCCTCTCGATCTTGGGAGATGCTCCCCAATCCGACCAGTACATCCAGCCCTCGATGGGATCCAGGGCAATGGAACGCGGAATGTCCAGCGAATCCTTCACCAGGACCTTTCCCATGCTGCCCTCGAAGTTGGTCAGCTCGATGGTGCACTTGTGGGTGTCCGTGTAGTAGACGTGGTTGTAGATCCAGTCCACAGCCAGGCCATCCGAGGTCACCGATGATTTTTTCAGGACCACTGTCTTTTCATTGCCCTCATCAATGGGAGCTTTGTAGATGCTCTGCGTGGTCACATCGCTCCAGAAGATCATCCCAGTGCGGAATACGAAATCCAAAGCGGTGGCTGCCTTTGTACTATTCACTATAGAGGTCATTTCCATGTGGTCGAGGGCTATTTTCCGGATGTCGTGGCGTCTGGCCAAGAGCAAAGAGGCGTGTCCTTCGCTGGCCTTGCACCTCGTGTGGTTCCTGGGATCCCTCATGTAACCCGCCTCGCACTCGCACTTAAAGCCACCAATTTCATTGACACAAATCTGTGAGCACTTGCCGGGAATCTCGCACTCGTTGACATCCTGGCAGTTGCGCTTGTCGGCGGACAACTTGTAGCCCTCGTGGCACTCGCAGTGGTGCCCCACCTTCAAGTCGACGCACTGGTGCATGCAACCGCCGTTCTTGGAGGCGCACTCGTTCACGCCACACTTGCCAGCGGGTTCGTCCTCGCCATCCGGGCAATCCTTCCGCTTATCGCAGACTTTCGAGAGCGGAATGCACTGACCTCCGCCGCAGTCGAACTCGCTGGTGGTGTTGCAGGTTCCCTGGGAAACGCCGAGGCTGAGACTCAAGCCACAATCCCGCTCGTCACTGCCATCGGCGCAGTCCTTGTCCCCGTTGCAGGTGAGGTGGCCGGGGATGCAGCTGCGATCGCCGCACTGGAACTGGTCCGCCCGGCAGGTCACGTTCTTGCAGTTCGCCGTGTGCTCGTCGTCGCCGTCGGGACAGTCGCGGTCACCATCGCAGAGCCAGCTGTGGTGCAGGCAGGTGATGCGGTCCTTGCACTGGTACTCGTGTGGCAAGCAGGGCGTGGTCGTCTTGGTCACGTTGGCGCAAGACTGTTGAAAAAGAAGGAGTTATAAAAAGAGAAATATTAAATATCATAATAAAATATTACAGAAAACTTGGAATCAGGGAAGCTATTATATATAATAAATTCTCAATTTTATTGTACAACTAAGATTATGTTTTGTTAAGAAATTCAACTTGACTTGAATTCAAAAGTTTATTTAATTACTCCAAGCTCCAGAAGTGTTTTCTGCCATGTTATTCTAACCCCTTCGAATAACAATACCCAGGAATGTAAGATAAATTTAAACTTTAAATGGCGAAATTGCATACATTATTCGGCAGCAAGGTGCAAAACAAAACGAGGAGGAACACGAGAAAACTTTGTTGGGGAAACTTTCCGCAGCGGAGAAGTATTCAAGGAAATGCCCGCCGCACACTCGGGAAATTATGCAGCCCGTAAGCAGGGAAAAATGCAATTTTATGCGTGCCATGCGTTGACAACAAAAGCTGCCAAAGCTGGCAGGGCGCTGAGTTATGCCCAACTTGGCCATAATTCATGTGGCTTAGTGGCCAAAGTACCGAAAAAAGGAACTAACATAAAAGGGTTGCTTGCTTCGCTGCTTCATTTTTTTCGGCCTGTTTGGCGGGGGGTGGGGAGGGGGAATGGAGATTTATGGCTGGCATTTTTCACTCACCCGCTCGTCGGAGCCGTCGGAGCAGTCCGGATCGCCGTCGCAGAGCCACCGCTTCGCGATGCAGGCTCCGTTGGTGCAGGTGTGCTCCGCCACGGAGTCGCACGGCACCACCGGACAGTCCTTCTCATCCGATCCGTCCCCGCAGTCGTCGTCGTGGTCGCACTTCCACCGCTTCTGGATGCACCGTCCGTTGCCGCAGGTGAACTCGTCGGCGCGGCATGTCTGGTCTGTGAATTTACCGGGGATATTTAGGCCTTGCCACAAAGGGACTTGCAACACTCAGTGGGCAAACAATGGAAACCAAAGCCAAATGAAGTGATACGGGTGCAGGGAGTTAACTTTGTGCGGGATAAAATGGAGTCTGGAGTGGTGGAGGGCAGGGCTAAATCAATATTTGGGATGGGCAAAGCTGGAATGCAATTTCCATAGACAGAAAAACATGAATAAATAGTAAAATTTGTTTTCAAATGATGTGGAACCTTTTAATTGAGCTGCCGAACAGAGAAAATAAACACTGAGAAACAAAATACAAATGAAAACTGTGTTCTAACTACAGCAAAGAAATGATTATCTGCACTCCATTCGGATCCATCGGAATCCCTGCCACTGGAGGCAGGAAGCCAAGGCAGAAGGCAACTAAAAACCAAAAGCCAAATGAAGTGTGGTTGCCTCAATAGTTGGAATAAGTTAGCATTGGGGTTTAGTTTGGGGGCGAGCTTTGAGACCAGTTGGCTTGCGGAATGCAGCTACAGATGAAAATTAAATAGTATTTGCTTAGCCAACGAAAGCTCAAATAAAACTCAAGCAATTTATCTGTTCTTATCTTCTATCAAAGCGAAGCAAATAAATGGTTTAATAAAGAATAAATGAAAAGAAATGCTAACTTTTGGGCAACTGAACAGGTGATTTAGTTTTGAGTAAATTCAAATAAATACTTCATGGCAAAGAAGAAACCTGTGTGTACCGTTGTGAAAAACAATGATTGTGTAAAAACTTGATAAGAGACTCCACTGGAAATTGTTAAATAGAATTGATGGATTATCCTTACTGCAGTTGTGCTCGTCGGAGCCATCGCTGCAGTCCTTGCTCTGGTCGCACATCCAGGCCAAAGGAACGCACTGCCCCTCGCCGCTTTTGCAGGCGTATTCATCCGGCGAACAGGTGCGGGCTCCTATCGCAATCGATGTGCAGCGTTTGTAAAAAGAGAGAGATAGAGGAGAAAGGAGGAGAAAGCAGTGGGTTCTTAGCTGTCGTTACTATCAGTGCATAACGCATACGCCATGTATAACCGTCGGAGACGTAACAATAAATTCATTTATCCCCAAAACCCAAAGCTTAAAGCGAAAATATTGCCAAATTTTCCGTTGGCCTTGCTATTACACTTCCCAGAGTTCGATGTCACTAAAGTAGTGATTTTATGCTGTAATACCCTCAAAACAGTGGAGCTTCACTACCATATAACTCACATAAAATATCCTAAAGTAAATATAATTTATTTCCTTCAAGGTGGATTTTTTATGATCAATCAGTTTTAAGCCCCATAAAGGTTTACCAGGATAAAGGTTATTTTTTATGGAACAAAGTTCGTTTCATGGGTTACCGACTGTAGAGAAAACCCAGACAACGGCAGCAGCGAACTTGTGCTAAGCGAATTTCATGCGAACAACGCGTCGTATACTTGTTGTCAAGGGCCGCCATGAATGGGTACACAATACACCCGCCCATAAACACACACACACACACGCATACGCGCAATTGAGCACACTCGATGCTCAAACACACACACACACACTTGGGGAGACTCACAGGACTCTCACTCTCAATGACTTGATTAAACTTCTAAACGCAAGGGGGCGAAATTGTTGCGAAAATTATGCAAGCGCCACTCCATTAAGGGCGCGTATGAGTTATGCGGCAAGTTGGTTAGTGAAAGCGATTAAGCGGTGGGTGGGTGGATGGTTAGATGGGTGGTTGGGTGGTTGGTTAAGTGGGTGCTTTCGTATCGATGGCAAGGACGAAGTAGTTGTGGGCTTACTGCAGTGCGCCTCGTCGGATTTGTCGCGGCAATCGTTGCTGCCATCGCAGAGCCAACTGCGTGGAATGCACTGGTCGACCGTGTGGCATTTGAACTCGTTGTTGGGACAGGCGTTCACTAAACACACAATCGAAATAGACGTCGGTTAGAGAGAACTGCTGCTGCTGCTGGCTTCTTCCCCCCCACAGGATTTCCCAGAAGGATTCCCCGTGTGGACGTAGTGTCCCTTTCCCCGCAAGTTCTGTGTACTTACTGCACAATTCGTTGGCCTCGTCCGAACCGTCGGCACAATCGCTCTCCTGATCGCAGCGCCATTTGTTCGGGATGCAATTGCCATTCCCGCAGCGGAATTGGTCCGACGAGCAAGTAGCCTCTGCAAATGGCAGGAAAATCAAGGTAAGTCTTGGTTACATACTGTAGTTGTTGCACACGAATAAATATACTTGAAGACGTTTCAGAGATTTATTGGATGGGTTCTGAGATACTTAGGTTTAAAATGCATGCCCTTTTGGAGCCTTAAATTGCTGTATTAAAAGGAAATTTAAGGAACTAGATAGTAGGATAGGATGATTTTGTAAATGTAAACTTTTAAATAAAGATCATATTTCAAATTATTAAAATATTTAAAGCTTTGTATCCAATTAATCCACCTTGATTTGTATTCCTTTTTTATATTCTTTCATATTGTAATAGAAACCAAGAGAAAAACGAGCAATTTCCGTTTTTGACAGATGGGACTTATTTCCAGCGCAGTTTTATGTTTTCCTGGCTTTGAACTCTGCAGGCGACCCGTATCAAAAACAAAAGCCAAACAAACATCCGAGGAAATAGGGGCCACTTAGGAATATGCGCGTGTTTATGGCTACGCGATGCCACGCCCACCGCCCAACTTACACAAACAGCGCACACACACACCCACATACCCATATTTATTTACACGCACTTGAGCACGTGCTGAGCAAAGAAAATGCCCCACAAACACAAACAAAAAGAGCGCTGCAATGGCTTTTCAATGCCACTCCAAGGGGCAACAAAAATGTGTCATTTTTATACCGCGCGTGTGCATATATATATGCGTATATATCCGTGAACAGGATACGTGTACGGCTTGTAATCGGATTAGTCAGTTTTTGAATCCGCTGACTTGTTGCTATGCAACGCAGCGTTTTTTTTTTTCTGTTCGCCACCGACTTCCGGAAAAGCTGGTCACAAAATTCTATTGCATACTTTCGGCAACCACCAGGGCAATTAGAAATTTCCTTTGTCCCCCGAAAACTTTGTTGTGTGAACTGTGTGTGTGTGTGGCTGGGCATTCGGAAAATTCTTTGGGCAGTTTTCGTCCAATTTTACCGCCTCTATAAAATAGAATTCAAAGCACTTTGGTGTAAATGATCGGAACATGCCTTGTGGCATTCACAAATTGCTGTTGACTATGCAAATCTTGGCCAGCGCCAAGGGAAAAACACATTCGGGCGTGTAAATTTTAATCAATTTTTATGCTTGTCAGGCCTTTGTTGGCCATATCAATAACATTTTATATGATTACTTTTCTAAACTTTTTATGAACGCGAATGAAATGTGGCATGAAAAAATGTTTGTGTTTTGTGTGCAGGGAACTGGCGCAAAACAAAACTTTGATGTGAGCCAATATTTGTTAAAAAATAAAAGCAGGACAAAAAAGGCAAATATAAATGCCAATTCAGTGAGCAATAAAAATTGGCCGCATGTGTGAGCCGAGTGAAAATAATACGTATACTCGTACAAACAAGAATAAGGGGTAACAAATCCAGGAAGGAAAATTGTGCTTCAACCACTTTTGGTTCAATGATTGTCGATTCGGTTTTACGAGTATGTTTTTTTCCTTTTGCTTTTCGTTTTTGCTAATATGTGACATTATTTTTGGGAATTGTGCCCAGCGGACAAATGGATTATAATCGCTGATCCACCCATATTAAAATTTCGTGTCGACTTGGTCTCCAATTAAAAATCAAATTACAGCACTTTTTGTATCATGTCCAACATGACAGAGCGAAACTTTTATTGATTGCATTTATGCAGTAAGCCCCTACTTTCCTTCATCTCCCCCAAAAAAGAAGGGACAAAAATAAGCATAAATAAAAATATGAAAGTTGCGCTGTCATGCAGCATTTTGCAGCATAATTTATTTTTTTAACTAAGTTTAAACGGCTTTTCAGTTGATTAAAAAACTTTGGCCTTTGGCAGTTGATGTTTCCGTGTATTCCCGCCAAAGTCCCTGCTCTCAGCCAATTTGTATGCAAATGTTAAGCGGCGCTTGCAAAAATATTCTGTTGCATGCGAGGCGTAGCTCGGAACCTGCATAAATGCTACAGGCTGTGAAAAATGCTGAAAACTGGCGGAAAAACTCCGCACAGGGAAGCCCTGCATTTCTGTAAATCCAGATGATTGGGATTTTGGCATGTTTAATTTAAGTTAAAAGGTGTCGGAAACTTTTCGACCTGATAATAGTTAAAAGTTTTCCCTAACTTCGACTAGTTTAAGCGAGAGTTCCTTAGTTAGCAGTGTACTTTTGGTACTTGAGCAAGACCGATAAAAGGACATGATAGCAACACTAGAGAGCCTTAAAGAGTACTTAGGGGTTGGAAATCTCCTGAAACTATCTTAAGATTATATCTGTGTAGTTACGTAAACAACGGCGTAAGTTTCCTTTTATTATTAAGGAAGTGACTTTTAGTTTCCACACCAAGTTTATTTATTTAGAAAAGTTTATACGTTATAAATCACATTAAAATATTTGTTTAGAACAAATAATTATTCAAATATTCTAAGCGAATTAAATTTCTTTTTTTTTTTTGTACTCATCCTGTTTGTACAAATACGCTTAAATTATACATGATATGCGCTTGTTTATATTAATATTTTCTGCTTAAATGAACTTCAGTTTGGCGGAAATATCTGCGATTTTATTATTCCAAAATGTCCATAAACAAATGGTTCACTTAATTCGTTGTATTGTTTTTGAAAATATCAGTTTGCGCCATTAAGTCCGCGGCAAACGGAACAATCACCATAATTATTTGCATACCATTTATAGTTAGAGCGCGAAAACTGTGGCTCTGACTGTGCAGCAAACTGGCAACGAAGAGTAAACACCAAATGCGACCCATTTTGCGAGGTCCTTTCCGCGTTTTTCACAACGTTTTCGAGGAGCTGAAGAAGATTAGGCGATGAGCACATCTTTATCCAAGAAATTCGATTATGATTATCTGACAAAACACCAGCACTGGCAAACGCAAATTGCCAGGACCTTCTGATGACATATTCGAGAGGTCCAGCCAACTTGCACAAATTGATTGCATAATTTCCGCAAACAAAAACTGCCCTCGAGCAGCACATTTCAAGTTCATAACGACCACAGCGGAGCGACAGACAAATGGTAGAAATTGTAAACATGATATTCCATTTTCGGGTGAAAGACTGGGGGGAAATGGCGGAAACTCATTTAATGTTCAACTAAATGATAAATGGCAAGAAGAGCGGCTGTTTTCTGCTGGGGGGAAGGAAGGCAACCCCATCAACTGTCACCGATTGACTTTGAGGATAAGTCTGGCCCGGACAGGCCGAGAAACGGAGACTTCCTTGGCCGCATCCTTTGGGGGATGGGGGCCCCCAGGACCTCAATGTCCTGCTGCTGGCGTTTTGTCAGAGATAAAACGAATCTTGGCAACGCAGACTCTGTCTGCTCGCAGTCCGATTAGCCTTTAACATTTTCGCGTAATTTGTTTATTCTTCCTCGGCTTTTTTTATCTTTTTTTTTTCGGCACACACTCACACACTTGGCACACTTTTGCTGGCTTGGGTATCTCACGATTTTTCAAGTTTGTGGGCTTCCCCGTGAATTCCTTTGTATATATATGTATGCAAATTCCCCTTTTAACTGGGAGGCAGTCCTTTCGCAATTTCACGCGCTGACATCCGCTTGGTTGAGAGGTTCGCCGCCAACTGAGTGCTTGGTTGCAGAGCGGCTATCCTTAAAAACAATTCCGCCCAAAGTTGTTTGCAGCCTCCGCAGCAGCCGAGCAACCGAAAGCTTGCCACAGTCTGCGAGTCGAGTGCAAAAACCGCTTAGAGTTGAGTGGAATTCTCGCCAGAGGAGTGAGTTTTCAGTGAGTGAATCTATGGAGTGGTTGCTCTGATTTGTTGTGAGTGTGAGCCTTGAGCTAACAGGTCCTGCTGAGTCGAAAAAGGATGCTTTTTATCATTCAGTTGTGGATAGTAAGGCCAACTAATGGTGTTGTCAATCATTAAAGTAGTTCCCATGTGACTTAAAACTTTATTCGGGTTACAACAAATATGGTTTAATTTGGGAAAACTTTGAAAAGGTAAAGAATTTAGAAAAAGAACAAAAAAATTAATGAGTAAAACTTAGACGTGTTTTATATAATTCCAAACATTTTTTAAGAAGTATTAGTGCAACTTTAAACTTTAGTTTGTGTTCTATATTTTTCAACTAACAATGAAAATCACCCCTTGACACATTTTCCGCTGTTCAATGAAAGCATCATTATGTCGCAGTAACATACAAAAGCAACGATAATGCAGCCCCGTTTATGAGCATTTAGCATAATTACTGTAAGCATTCATTGGGAAATCCAAGCCCCTTATCGAATTCCCCCAAGTTCAACAGAAATGCACTTTTTTGCTGCCTCATCTCGGCTCATTATCAATTTCCCTTCAGGGGACACAATTTCTCCCCGGCAGCAAGTTATATAAAACCATTGCATTATGCGCCGCAAGAATCCCAAAATGGATGTCTGGTCTCAATTACTCAGATTTCGGTGTCTGGCACAACTCAAAGTTGGGTGATAAAGCCGAAAAGCGGAGCAGACGACCTCACATAGTTTCCTTTTACGATCGGCCCGCAAATACATAAGTCGCAAAAGTCTCGTGCGACGCAAATGATAAAGCGGCAGACAGCGGCAAAAAATTGCTGATGCAACCGAACCGCATGTTGCAGTCAGCTAAATGCTAAATGCCGAATGCCGAATGCTGAATGCTTAGTGCGTTGTACGTTGCAGTTGCAAGTGCAGCGAGAGACAAAAAGATACAAAGATACTCGGATACTCGCGGCGAGGGAATGCCATGGCACAGTTTTTGGTCAGCAGTCAGCGACAATTGCGATGCGTAAGTGTTGCAAACTAGTTTCGGTTTCCATTTCGACGGCAGTTTCAGGTTTGATTCAGACAAAAGGAAAACCAACAAAGGCCCACTGGCTAACCATGCCTAATAATACGGACCCCACTGTGAACGTAATGTTACATCGAGTGCCTGAAAGTATGCAGTGAAAAATGGCGGGGAAAATGGGGAAATGCAATAAAAATCAAGCAAATATTTACTCAACTAATTTATGTGATGGGTTAAGTAGGGTAATGAATTAGGAATTAGAAAACCAATGTTGCGTTTGACTTTTTCAATTAGCTACAATAAATCCATTGACCGCAAGCAAATAATAAATGGCACTCAATAAATTGTGGCAATAATGCTGACTGAAAAGGATTACAGGCAGGCTCCGGTTTTCACTTTCACAAGATTCTCTCGTTTTCGTTTTCAAAAACGAAAATTGGTGCTCCCGTTTTCACTTTCACAAGATTTTTTCGTTTTCAAAAACGGGCAAGTTTTTTTTGTCGAAATGAAAAGTAAATGCCTTTTTCTACATCAAAACGGTTCTTAATTGCAAAAGGAAAAAAATAGTTGACTCCTTGGTCTATTGATGTTCATTTCACATCATCAGTAGGTCAATCTAATTCGTATTTATTTTTTAAATAATTATTTTCTGACCCCACCTTGATTTCATACATAAAATATTTGCCGTCGGCAACAACAAATTTCGTTTTGCTAAAGGCTCGATAAATCTATTGCCAAAGTTATCGTTAATGCTGCCGTACTTGTAGTGGAACGAAACAACCACTTAAAAATACTTATAAATTGAAAACGAAGAAAAAAATACTTGTAAAGAATAGTTAAATAAGCTTTTTATAAATAAATATGATTAATTTAGTTTCTTAAATGGCAAAAGTGGAGTAAAAAAGTGGTTGAGAATAGTGGAATGAAAGCTGCAAAAAAGGTGGCAGCCCCTTATTGTGGGAAACAGCTGATTTCTGATGGAGGCTTATTTGAACTTTTAAAAATGTAAGTAAGACAACTTAATTTACCGATCGTCAGACATATTAAAAACACATGTGTTGCATCTAAGATGCCTCGATTTTCTTAAATCAATCAATTTCTGCCTTCTTTTGGCTTCAAAACAGGCAATTGAAAATATAAAAGTCATTTTTTTGCTTTGTTTACTTTTGACCAAAAAAAGTCAGCTGTTTGAACCATTCCGATAACGAAACGATGACAAAAAGTTTGTGAAAACCGGAGCACCTAAAACGAAAACGTACGTTTTCGCCCAAAAACGAAAACGAAAAAAAAAAGTGAAAACCGGAGCCTGCCTGTTAATGAATTATGTTACTTGTATACGTTTAAAAAATCCTTCATTTTTTGTTGCTCATAAATGCTATACAAATTAACTCACCTATAAATTTACACTCCTTAATCTGCTCGTCGCTGTGATCCTTGCAGTCCGCATCGCCATCGCAAACGAATCGAATGGGAATGCAGTCGCCACTGCGACACTGGAACTGCTTGTCATCGCACTTGGCCTCCAGCGATTGCCCTGCAATACAAACAGACCCTGGTTTAGATGGGCAAACAAACGCTTAAAGCTAATTATAACGACTTGGAGTTACTGAGTTACGGACTTACGGGCTTTTGGGGCCACTCGCTCACAGCAAACTTTTCTCATTAAAGGAAAAATAACAAAAGCTCAAATTGATTAGGGCTAAAAACTTCAAAAACAATCACCAGCAGACACGCACACACACACACACAGACACACGGATATATCCGTCTGAGTAGAGATGTACATATGTGTGAGTGTGACAAGTAATTTGCATACTAAACGATAAACGAGAGGAGGAGCGAGGGCCTTTTAATCAACAGAAAGCCTCAAACAAAATGGATCACAAAGTTTTTGGCCCCCGAAACTCCGACACATAGGAGCCCTTGAAAATATGCAATACACACATATTCGAAACAAAACAAGCCATCAGACAGGCAAAGAACCCAAGGAATGTCAACAGACTTACACAGAGGAAAACTACTTGAACTACAAAATAAAATCCAAATAAAATAATTATATATAAGGTTTCATAAATGTAGGTAATTTTAAGTATAAAGTTAACTTTAAAAATGAATTAAATACATGTTTGAACATTTTCCTTCTGTGTAAGGACCTAAAACAAAATGTGACATCTAAAAAAATGAATGTAATAGATTGCCATTGAACAAACAGAGAGCCTGAAAATGCGATAATAGAGGAGGGGGAAATGCTGAAGTGGAACCGTTTTGAAAAGGGTTTTTTTCGACCCGACTGCCGATGACAGCTGCTCACTTGACCCACTCGCATGACCTACGCCTCCAGGCGATCCATCACACGTTTGCATATTTCAATTGGCCAGTGTTTAACCATTTACATTTCGATTCGGATTGCATAAACTTGCTAATTGCTGTAATTGAAGTTCGCAGGAAATATGCAGTGCGTGTGACAAAATAAACAAAGGGCGATCTCCGATTGCCAGCTTTCAATCAATGAGGTCAAATCAATTCGATTTTGTGTCGTCGCGCTGGCTGCCGGGAAATTGTTTTCAATTATGCACGATGGCAGTCAACAAAATGGTGAATTATAATTCGAGCAGATGCATACATGAGGCAGATGGAGGAATGCCATTCAAATAATTCCAGATGACGTCAAGGCCCGCAATGAATGAGTTCCTTTGCCTCGTACGGCCAACGAATAAGTCCAAAAATAAATATTGGCTTGGGGCTCGAAAAAGGATTTTAAATAGCATAATGGAAAAATAATATGATCTAGCTCTCTGAGCATAAATAGAAAATTGCTTGAGGTATTTATACATTGTGACCCTGAAAATGGTTTAAATTAAGTGGGCATAACTTATTGAAATTGATAAGGGTCTTCAGGAGGAGGAGCTGTGTGAAAGGGCATCATGAGAAATAAAGAAAGAAATAGAACTGTAATTTTATACTGACATATTTATCCTTGAAAAACATTGCTAGGTCAATTATTTCAACTCTTTATCACATTCTAAGTCAACTGGACTTAATTTAATAGAACAAGTTCAAATTGGTGTGTGATTACAGAGTTTCCGCCATAATGCGGACACACCCCACAGACCAGAAAACCAGTTTGATATCAACCTCAAAAACAATAGACTGTCTGCCGGCAACTTCGAAAACACCTCTGTAGTGCAAGACTATGAATAAATCAACATAGGTAAATATCGAAAAGCAAAATACTTAGCATATCTAATGATTTCGTTAATCGCAGAGGCGAAAACAAGTCCACACACAATCCGGTTGGCTTAACCCAATAAACTTCAGTTGCCCCTCGAAAATCAGAAACTGCAAGTCGACATCATCATACGATTTCCACAACAAGTTTGCTATCAATTAAAAACCGGCGAATAAAATTGTTTCAGATTAGAAGTTATCTCATGGTCAAGCACATAATTAATTATTATTGTGTAAAAAAAATAAAAAATGAATAAATTGATAAGAATATTTGGGTTTAATAAGGTGTTAAGCGCTGGGAAAAAAGTAATCAGTGATCTATATTCCTTTTATAACAAATTAATACTAATTAACTTGTGAGCGCAGGAGTTGATAAGCTTATCACTCAGATTGCGTCAAGATCAAGGTTAATGGATTACCCGATGATTAGCCGAATGAATTGAATTTAATATCTTGAGATGACATAACACGTGATTCCTAGGGTATGAGATCAATAGAGATTTCGGTTTGAGCATCATTCGATGCATCAACAGTTTCACCAGAATTGTTGAATCAATCAAAACATGTTTACCAATAAACAAACAAAACAATTACACTGCATCAACATCGAGTTCTATACGTAAGATGAGCACGCCCACTATTAATTTGTTATTGTTATTGTTTGCCGTCGGTTCTGGCACAAACTAGTTTTATATGCTAGAGAAATCTGTTGGCACAGCGAATAAATTAAAAAATAAAGTGAAATGGGGCGCACAAATAAAAATTAAATCAACTTCTGTCTCTCTTCTGCGACCTTGCAACATCATATATATATGATAGATATATGCACAAGCATATATGACATCAAGCATATGTTAATTTATCTGACAGCATCTCTCAGGCGAGAAAAATCAAATGGAATTAGTAATAAATCAGCGGAGCAGATTTAAACAATTCGAAAGAGAAAGAGACTCTCAGAGATTTAAAGAGATAATGGGCAACGTTACAACGCAAATCGATAGGAAAATAGGGGCTCGACTCTGTTTATATTTATGTGGATTTTCATTAGTTCACAACATGATGAAGAGCCCAAGGAATATTTAAATTTAGCCAACACAACGCAGTTGGATTGCGGACAGATTTTCTGGACTACGTCAATATCTTTAAAGAAAATCCTCAAAATGCGCCTTGTTTTTTGTGAGAGAGTTTAAAATATATGTGGTTATGTCAACAATTTAATTTATTTTAAGCAAAGTCCAAGAGTCCCAAGAGCAAAGTACGAAATTGCAAGTAAACGGGATATTTTTAGCATTGAATCTATTTTTTGGCAGTAAAAATGTTGATTGATAACTTAAAAATCGAATTCGAAGAATGGATATTTTTAGATATATTTGCGTTCGATATTATTATTGGTAAATATATAAATATATAATATAAACATTTGAATGACTAATAACAGGAATCAAAAAATTTGTAAATAATCTTTCAATATAGTCTTGATTTATTGGGGGGGAATTTCTATAGTCTGACTGCCCTTGATTGCCACTTGTCGTCAAATCGCGAAATCCCTGCGATCGAAAAATGCATGAAAACAAATCGTAAAACTGACCGATAAGATAATCCCCAGTTCAGGGCTAATACTAACCGCAAATCCCTATTAGCCAAAGCAGGTGGCTAGATTTGAAGTTAGATTTACGGTCGGAATGCCCCGTGCCAGAAAAATACGTCACAGACAGACGCCAAACGCTCCTCTTATCTATAAACCATTTAAAAATATAGATACACGGTGGTCAGACTGGCGGAAATCAATGCGGAAGCGATAATCAATTTTCGGTTATTTCGGTACCACGGTAACCGGTGGGCCACACTGCGTCTGTGTGTGCAACAAGTGGCAAGTGCACTTTTGTATCTGTATCTGCAACTGTCCAGGTGTCTGTCTGTGTATCTGTATCTTTTTAACTAAACCCATTTCAAGTGCATGATGTGTGAAGTGAGCTAAGCGCTTTAAATGACTCAACACTTTGATGATACTCTATTGAAAAGTTTGTGCAGATTATAAAAAATTGAGGATAAAATTCAATATTAAATAACTATTTTCGATGGTTATATATTTTAAATTCCTACTACGTTATTATTATATACCTCAGTTTGATTTTGTATATTTATGTTTGAAACTGTGCAGATACCTGAAGTGGTTGACAAAATACTAAACTTTTTTCTTAGTTTTATTTTCATTAATTATCTGTCTCGTTATCAAAACCAACTGATTAAAATATTTTTACGAAGAGAGAAAATTAGCTAACATTCAGTTAACAACCAAATCACACAATATTATCGACACAATGAAATAATATTGTATGTGCATATATATGTATATATAAACTGTTGCTGATAGTTTTTTAACGATTAGGTTGTAAATCGACAACTCGTGTTTCCTATAATTTGCGCAGTGAAATAACATTTCTAGTACGTTAATATTATTTTTTTTTTGCAATTTTAAGTGGTTACTTATGGTAAATGGAAAACTTTGAAAACCTTTAGTCATTTATACCCATGTCTAGGGTATCCTAACTCCAATTTCCACTTCAACCTCGCCGTCGTCTGTGGTCTAAAATTAGCACATGCTAAGCTAAAAACAAACTTCTCACTTTCTGCCCCCCTTTCGCCACCTTCTCTTTCTGGTTTTGCTGTGTTTTGTTTGGTGTTTTCCCCGACTTTTCAATTGCATCTCACCTGATGCTCACACTCTTGGATTCTCACCTATGCCGAGGGGTGTGCCAATCTTTCCGGAAACGTTCAGAAACTTGAAGCCCATGTTGATGAAGGACTTGCCATCGAGCAGTTTGCTCAGCGATCCGCCCTCGTCGATCGCCGGTGGATTATGTGGGCTAACTGCAGATGTGGCTGTCGATGCTGCCGACGTAGGGGGACTCAGCGGAGTGGGCGTGGCAGTGCAGCATTTGCCAAATCCGAGGATTAAAGTCAGCAGCAGCAGATTGAAGTTTGCGCAAGCGCAACGGAACAGCTGTTCGGCGCGTTTCTTGTCGCTGAGATTGATGAATGTTACTGGAGATTTTTGATTTGTTGTTGTTGTTTTTGCTGTTGTTGTTGTTGATTTGGTTGAGGGTTTTGTGGTATCACTTGCAGTGCTCGTAGAGCGTGACTCTATGGCCATGGTATGGTCTTTTACTTGTCTATTGTTTTGCACTTTTTAGCTTTAGTCTTTAGTCTTTATGCTTGTATTCTTGCCTTCACACTTTTTTCTTCGATCATACAAAGTATATACACTATATTGTGGGTGGGGAGAGATGGGGTGAGATTCTGGGTGACCCTGGCCATTAGATTATCTAAGCAGGAAGCCCGAGATCTTCGCCAGAGATTATCTAATCAGAGAAATGGCCGAAAGCGCCAGCGACAATTCGTAAAAATAAACACAAGAATCAACGCAGAAGCATTGAAAAATCGCTTGCCAGTCAGGAAAATAAACAGGCGATCTGGCCAATTCTCTTTTTTTCGACTCTCTTCTCATTTCTTTTTTCGGCTGAGAAGACCGAAGGAACTGGTTAAAATTCGTGCGACACACAAAAACAAGACGCCGTCAAAAAAAACCGAAAAAGCCGAAAGAAAATTAAGTCAAAATATCAGCCACCAACAAAATCGCCGAAAATACGAAGAGAGCGAAATGGTAAACGCACAAAAATACACAGAAAACCGATTATTATTTATCGCTGACTTAGGCAAAAAAAAAGTTATAGAATAAAAAGAGAATATTTAAAAATTTGATTGAGAGTTTTTATTTATATTAGCTCAATAACGTTTTGTTGTTTACTTTTTAAGAAGAAGCAAAACATTTCTGTTGACGTTGGCATTTAAAAAAGCTAATACAAAACTTGAATTCTGGCTGAGCAGCGTGCCACGCCCCTAGATCGCGAACGCTAATTAATTGAATATTGCTTTGGCGGATAGCACGCGAGTAAACGCTTTGATAAAAACAGACGTTATCAGTTTTTCATTTTATTTGGATTTATTTTTGCGGTTTTGTTTCAAGGTGTCCCTGAATGTGCGGCACGTGCTGAATGCGTCTTTCCAAATTTGGTTAAAAAATTTGTTTGGTTTTTAAGTTTTCAGGTAGAATGTTTTAATTACATGAGATTCGTTTAGCTGTTGACTTTTATTTATTTTTGTTATTTTTTTTTTTTTTTGTTGAAAATAAACCGCTAAAAATCGTTGATGCCCGGTTTGCACAACGCGCCTTTTTCAACTGAATTCGATTTGAGAATTTGCCTGCGAATTTAAGCGAATTGAAGGCGATTTTATTTCGAGAGCTGAGAGCGCTTGCCGTTTGCGATTGTGTTTGTTTTTGCACCGTCTCAAGGTGGCCTTATCAAACTGACAAGAATACGACCAGTCCCCATCGAAGAGATAAAAAAGAGCGGTGGAGATCGGGGCTCTCTGCGATCCGAGCGATGCTCCAAAAACTCTTAAGTTACAAGCAGATCATTTAAGGTGCTCTTAAGCAAACCTGTTGATCGTTGATCGATGGAACCCATTTCTTATTAAAAAGGGCTGTTTGAGCAAAAAACACTTGAATTATCTCTAGGTCTTAGGATGATATCGCCTCATTATCTTAGAAGGAATTGTTCCAGGAATGCTTATATTTATTTACTTTTGTTTGGCTACAACTTTAATATAAAGCTGTTTTGTTTTTATGTTACCCTTATCGAACTACTTTTAAATAACTGCGCTTCATTTCGCAGCTAGACAGAATTCTGTAGAAATATGTTGAATAAGTATTGATAATTATCTGGTCGTAATGCCGAGATTCCACTTTAATTTAAAAATACACCTTGTTATTTCGTACTCAAAGTTGGTAAATACCCCTGAGAAGCCAAAAGAAGGACTCAAGTGGCAGTGATGTTTGCCATTCAAGTAATGTTATATATTCCTTCTGAAAAGGTAATTGCTCGCAAAGTACGTGTAAATATTGTACAAGCAATTATTTAATATAAAGTTAAATAGCAATTATAGCTTAGTTTTCTGAGTATTGTAGGTTAAGTGGGGGTTTTTTTCTTGGAGATACTTTTTAAGATAAAGATTCTTATAGATCTCTGATTGTATTTATGTGGGTACCAACCTGTTCGAAAGGACAACGCCAAGGATATCACGATCATCGCACAGAGATCACTTTTTTGCATGGTGCTGGCCAAAACGATGTTTCCCGGATTTTATCTAGACTTGGTTTTTGCGTTGCCACCGCGTTTATCAGTGCGCAAAAAACGCAATTTTTTTAATTAGGCTGGACAACCGGACGTGGGAATGGTGCGATAATCGTACGACAATCACGACGTTCTGCATGGGCACTCGGAAACTATATCCAGGTGTCAATAGGTGGTGTTGCTTATACTTTCTGAAGACCCGGAGGGTTTCACGGTGCGGTGCCCAGCGAAGACCGATGCGAACTGAAATGGCTTTTGGCTGTGGGCAAACGAAGTCGCAGCTAATTAGCATTGAAAGTGTCGCCGCTTTCAATCAGGCCAGGTGGTGATTGTGATTGAAAGTGTGAAATTCGAAATTGAACTGGAGTGCTGGGGATTCGACTGGATGGGGTAGAGTTGAATGACGTCGATGGCTGACGGCCTGACTGATAAGATGCGGAGGGAAACCGCACCGCAGCCAGCGGACAATGGGGTCGGGTCAGAGTCAGAGGCAAGTCATCTTCACAACAATCGCCGTCAGTGGGCACTAGCATCATCCCAATCAAAATCTCAATCAAACTCACTATCGCAATCACAATAACCATCGCAATCGCCATCACTTCGCAATCGTCATCGACTGCATGGGCGTCATCTGCATTTGTCATGGATTCTCCGGCGTAACGGGCCACTTGAAATGGGCATAATTTATGATTTACGCGTGTAAATCATTTTTCAAGCACCACCCCGCAATGCTTGCGGATGACAGACCGCTTGCAAAAACCCCCTTCTCTCCCTCCCCCCTGGAACCAACGCCCCTGTCCACACTTATTTTGCATTGCGCCGCCGTTTCTAATTGCAGGCGTTCGAAATCGCTGGTGAATCGCTCGCAAATCGCCTAATCAAGCACTTCAGTTGACACTGCATTTTATCGCTCTGAAAGCCCGAGTCGTGTGTTCAAGTTTTGTCGAGTGTGAGTTTAGGAAAACAGATATATATGTGTGCATGTAAATGTGTGCTCTTTGTGGTTTTGGCAGGCGTGAAGGGCTCTGGTCATCTATCACTTGGCCAGATAATGATAATCATCGGTCGTCTTTAATCTCTAAGTGGTCTGACTGTAATCGCTATTTTCGGATAACTAACGCGGTGTACATTGACTTTAAACTTATTAAAAATAATTTATTTTAAAAATCTTTTGTAAGGGTTTTCAAAAATTTTTTTTACTGGGGACTTATAATTTTATAAAATTAATTTAAATACATTATATATAAAAGAGCAATGGTAAATTTATTCAAGTCTGACTGTGTTCCACTTCAGATGATTTAGTTTTTAACTAAAACGGAAATGCTGCCTTATGTCCTTATCGAAGGTATATTCCAAATACTTTTCTATTGTATCAACACTGTGGCATTTAGAAGTATTAGCTGTGAAAAGTTTAGAAGTTTCTCGGTTTGGTCTACATATAGTGAGGTCTAAAGAACTCAGCTTAGTTTGGTCAAAACCTCGTTCGGTAGAGGTCTCCTGGACTTTGTATTTTATTTATAGGGAATTGTTTGTTCTTAGTTTTCACTGGTTTTCACTTATTGCACTTTAAAGTTTGTTTGCGATTTTTATTCCATTTTATACTCATAAGTTTAATTGGGATCACTTATTTTATATTTTTTTATTTTTGAAACACTTCAATGGATCCGATCCAATCGACTGTCAACGCGTTTCTAAATGTTCCAAGAGTGTTTTTCTACAATGGAAATGTCTGTCTTTTTAAAATTTCCAATAACATCACCCCACGAATCGTTGTGTTAATTATCTATTACCATATTTAGGTAATTAACATAATGTAGTGAGCTTGTTCAAAACTACGTCAATCGAATTTACAAGAGAGGCAAACAATTTTCTCTCTTTGGGTTTGTTTTGTTTTTATGTAACGATTGTTGGATATCCATTTTTTTTTAAATAATTTTCTGATTTGCATTACTTTGTTTAAGTTTGTATATTTTATTAACTTTCATTACTTTTGTTCTCAGCACTCAGTATTAAATTCAAAATTTTTTTAAATTTTAGTTTCCACGTTCTAATAAACTGTGTACTGCAATAAAATTATATGGATACGATGGCGCCGCAATAATCAAAATTCAAATCGGATATATAATATATATTTTCAAAAGTCGCGCCCGATTGGGAAAGTCTTCGAATCGGAATGTAAACAGCGAATGAATGAGCGAAGAAGTAGCGGTAAATTTCACATGTGGCAAATGACAATAGAAGCTGCTGATGTTGCTGCCGCTGCCTCTGCCGACGTCGCAGTCGCAGCTACCGCGGCGCATCAGCAGATATTTTCCACCAACAAAACCTTTGTGGATGCTGCTGGAAAAGCGCTGTTAATGCTGTTAATCCACTGTTAACCGCTAACAGCGAATGTTGCGCAGCGTCGACGTCGACGATATCGCTCATAAACGTCATTCAATGGCCATATCTTTATGAGTGCGACTGCCTCGGGGTGTTCGAATAGTAGTATTGGGTGTGTGTGTGTGTGTGTGCCTAGCGAAGCGTTGCTAAATATGAAAACATAAAAATTAATGTTATATTTATAGTGTGGCAGCAAAAGTTGCGGCAGGAGGCGTTGCGGTCGCTGCAGGGCAGCAACAACAACACGACGGCACCAGCAGCAAAATCAAAAGTAGTAATGGAAGCAAAAGAAGCAGGTGCACTGAAAGAAATGAGTACGGGGAAAGAGCAAGAGATTTATAAAGCTAAAGGATATTTTGTATACATATGATATTTTGATAATTAATCCATATTTTCTTAAGTTGACAAATATCATGCCAGGTATAAATAAATGTATTTTGTATTTCTTTTATTTAGATAAATAAGTTATTAATACCTTAATCCTAGCAAGTCCTCCTACTAAAATTATATTTTCTTCTTGTGCAGCAGCAGTTGAAAGTCCTGGCCAAGTGTCGGCTGTTGGCTTTTGCTGGCTGGTATTTGTTGGTACTATATTTGCTTTGCCCGGCGGCAACTTGGTCGCTTCTGCTACTTTCTACTCGCCCAACTACATATTTGTAGTTATGCCAGCGGCAAATAAAGAGTTACGGGGAGAGGGGGAGGGGAAGGGGGAACCTCCGTTTATCCCTTTAGAATTTCAATAAGCACAACCAAATATTTTGAACAATAAATCGCTGGAATAAATACATTTATGAGTCGATAGTGGTTACTCGATAAGGGCCAAAAAAAGTTTAGTAAAAATAATCCAGTGAATATTTAATTTATTCTAACTTTGTTTAATTTATACTTGTTTAATTTATAATTGCGCAATTCCTGGCAACATTAAACACATTTCAGACTCATGTATAAACACCGAACTTTCATAGAGTATTTACTGTACCCCCAGGCAGTTAGCTGGTATTTGTGGCATGCATTGTGTGTGTTCCGCCACACATACGTAGCATGCCTCGCCAGCAGCCGTGCGAAAAGGTTGCGGCCAACGTGGCGTATGATGAATTCAATTGTCTACCCAAGCATTTGCGGCCAGGCAGATCAGTTTAGAAAAGTTAGTTGATTATGTGGGTGAGTATATGAGTGAGTTGAAAAAATCTCTGAGCTTTCCTATTAGTTTGAGATTTTAAAGTAAGAAATTTGGCTTCGAATCCGATTATATTCGTGTAAAAGGAGATGTTTGTATCGTAAAAACATCATATTTAAGCAAAGCTTGTACTTTATTTCCACTGATTGCAGCGAACTCAATTGGTCAACTTCCGTTGGCCAGACGATGAAAAGCAGCTGCTACCTTCGGTTGCCAGGCCAGCATTTCAACCTTAAATTGAGGTGGCTCCAAAAATCCCTGGCTGCCACACAGGGAACACAAAGAACTAACCAAGACCACAAACCAGCCGAAAAGCGACGACTTCCCTCACATTAGCAGTCGAATAATCATACGCCGCATTGTCCCCGGCCCGCAAATTGGAGGATGAAGGACGAAAGAGGGCTGTGTGAGGGCATCTGTTGTGGATATTTGAATTTGCCGTCAACATGGCCTATGGAAACCGTTGGCACATCACAGGAATGGTATGAACTAGAGGAACTTTAAACTGCGGGCCTGTGTCTCCAAAAGGAAAGGCGGATGTTTGAGGGGGGAAGGGATAAGACTGGGGGTACGGATACAGATAGCAACCACTGCCAGGAGCCAGGACTGATGTCCCTCAACCACATCCTCGTGCTCACACTGCTCCTGTGTGTGCAGGACTAAAATTTACCGCTAAGCATTTGCCAACAACGTGCGAGTGTTCAAAGGACAAAAGGGATGCGGGACAGGGAAATGGGAAATGCGAAATGGTAAATGGGAAATGGGACTACGATGACACGAGGCTGCTGGTCGGGATCATGGGGGTCATTGTAATCATAACGGTGGCCCTGCTCTCGAAGGGAGACTTTTCCAACGGGACGAAAAAGTGCACTCAAAAGGCGCCAAATTAGTCAAATCGTATAATGGTAATACAGGGTGCATGCTGCATAATATCTAAATATTATAACCTCTTGCCAAACCATTACCAATATTATATACCATCTCCCTTGGCAGGGTAACAAAGGCAATCGAGTGAAGCGGCTTTTCTTGATATTCTTTTTCTGCGTCGTTGACTGCGCTGCTGCTGCTCTGCCACTGCGCTGCCTTTCCCCAGCTTTTCCTCTGCTTTTCCGCTGCCGTTGGGATGATGGACAAATGGCATCGCCAAGTGAGGAAACTAAGCAGCGACAGTTTTTATGATTTTTCGGTTTCATCCCGCATTCCTTTTGTTTTGTTTGCTCTGCAATTATTTCCCCTCACAGTAACAGCTTGTTTGGGATTGTTTTTCCCGCTGCTGGTGCTGTTATCCTTTTTCTGGTGGTGACTGGCATTATCATCCACAGCTGAACAGAGTGTGCGCAGCATTAGCCCTCGAAGGAAGTGCCTTCCCATCCCAAGGACCAACCAGTCAAAAGTTAGCCAAATAGACAAATAAACAAACAGCCGGCGAACTTATCACTTTCCACCTAATTGATATCAGTTGCTGATTCCCTTTCAGCGGCAAGTGGCCAAAAAGTTTCTGATCCCCCAGGGAGCTCGACCAAGTGTTGGCCAATGTAAATCCGCTTACAGCGAAGTGGACTCATAAATTATTGATTTGATTATGTCACCCGCTTTTCCGACACTCAACTCAGGCCAATAGTCAGTCACTTTCCGCAGGACGCTCGTTGGCAGCTGCTGTTCCTGCCCGGTATTTATAAAGGATCAACAAGCGATTATGTCCTGCCGGCACTCGTCGAAAAAGGAAAACTGCCCAGCTGGGCAGCTTAGCAGGAGGGGGAGGGGGGAGGTGAAAAGCGGAGAGGTGACCTCAGGTCGGCGACGAAAGTGCCGCCGGATTAGTTGACATATCAATGTCAGGTCTCCGCTCTCCTTTCTCCTTTCCCCAGTCTGCAATCTCCATCTGCCTTTGTATCTCAATCTGGTTTTGTATCTGCTCCACTGCGGAATGCATTATTGATGAGTGGATTCCGTTTTTAACGCTCGCCTTCTGCCTTTTTTGGCCTGGCCATTTGCATGCATGCCCGATTGCCGTCCCGGCTATTTATACTCGCCGGTTAACTCGATTGCGAAGTCCTTGGCCGAAAACCCAGCGCCACCCACCGCCCACCTGCGATGGCCTTGCCACATGTTTGCCATTTTCGGGCTGATTTCCATTTCCCTGCTCTTTTGAGATGCTTTCAAGACGCAATAGGGCAGAAGCACTTACACTTTCTGATGACTTTGGAAAGGGTTCTCGAGCTAAGTTTTTCCTGACAACCCATATCTTTTTTGTACTTGAAGGTAATGACTATTTAGAATGCATTTTTATAAAATAAAATTATTATATCAATATATTATATTAATAAATTTATTATTTATTTTTTATCAGGTAATGTTTTTTAAAAGTACGTTATAAACGGATTGAAAACGATAATCAAGACTTAAGTATAACCCTCTCTTTGAAGAGTATTTCGGCAAGAGAAAATATCGCAATGCATATATTCCGTTTATACTTCCATCTTTGGCCACCTTTGCTACCGTTTCCTTGCGTGTCCTGCGCGTGTTCTCCATTCCCGTGCCCCTCATCCTCCACGTGCTTCCTCATATCCTTTGCTGCTTATGTGCCATTTGAGTGCCTGCCACGTTTGTCGGACGAAAGGAGCTAAGCGAATGCAGAGTGTCCCTATTGATGCCACTCACAGATTTCCCGCTGACCTTGGGGGCTGAATTTCCCAACAGCTTCTGACAAGCTCGTAATTAAAGCCTGTCGCTTTCTGCGGTAGTGGCTTACATATTTTGCGTGTTATCTCAACCAGCTCAGACACGCCAATCTACAGATCACTTGTCTCAAAGTTTTTGATATACACAGGGGAAATAATAGTTTATTTTAAAGGATTATTAACAATTTATTTGATCCAATTCATTTTGAACTTATCTCCCAAACTTCAAATA